GCGATGCCTCTTAATCATGTTTTCAAATTGATTTCATGCAAAAACAATTGTTTTTTCAATTTTTGGTGCTGTCAGAACTACCGCAAGGTAATTTTACGTAGTCCTGTGAAGTTTTGTTGAAATCGGTTGAAAAATGTAGGAAATCCGATCCAATATATAAACGAACAGACACACACAACCTGGGTTTTATAATAAGTATGATTAATTACTGACCATTTGCATTCAACATCCCATCCTTGGTATTACAATAAACTACATGCAGCAGCAAGGCCTCTGATCAGGAGGTTTTAAGAAGCATGGAACTACCTCTTAATTGCTGTTGTTCCCAGGTGTCCCCTAATCTGAGGTAGTAGCACCTGTTAGGGTCCCAACTATGAGCAAATAGATAAACCCCAAACTGGGGTCTAAACACTATGGAAGTATAAAAATACATTTTTATTGTAAAAATACCAACAATACATTTTCATAGTAAAAAAAAAAATTACCTGCAATACATTTCTGTAAATAAAATTGCAAATGCTTCTAAGAAAATTAAATTTCGGCATTAAATGACCCATAAGGAGTTGATACGCCACTCAACAAAAAACAAAAATGATATTCAACATCCTTCCAGGGATACACAATGATGCACACAAGGAAAAATAATTTCATAAAAAATTTTACATCACACACAGATTATGAAATCTATGTACAAAAGCAGAGAAGAGAAATATTATCTTGAACTTTATATTCATTGGATAAAGCATTGGAATAATGAAAGGTCCTTTCCAAAAGTTAAGCAAAAAATGGAAAATTTTGTTAGAATCAAAGAAAAGAGTACTAAACTTATGTAATATCAATCCTTCTATATGCCAATGAATGCTGGACAATTTCCTCAAAAGTGAAGAAGAGACTTGAAGCAACAGAAATGTGGTTCTACAGGAGGATGCTGAGGATCCTATGGAATGAACATATGAGCAATGACAAGGTTTAAGAGAAAATGGAAACATCAGGAAGAGGCAGTTGAAATTTCTGGGGCAAGAAATGAGGAAGGAGGGCTTGGAAAACCTGATACTCACAGGACCGATTGAGGGAAAGAGAGAGAGAGAGAGAGATGAAAGCAATGTGTAACATACTTAATGAGCTTGAGTAAATGGATGGTAAAACAGGGTTTTGGGGGAAATAAAAAAGACAAAACTTCTTAAGAGCTAGAAAGAACAGGAAGATGTGGAGGGCCATGATCTCCTACACCCTGAAGGGACACGGCACATAAAAAGGTGTTTCTTTCATCTTAATTTCAATTGCTTTTCATCAGAAGACCATCACGGCCATTAGTAGTAATATTATCTTGAATTTTATTATTAAAAGCATTGTCAGCCATTATTAATTTTTGACAAGTATTTCTTTCATCTTAATATCAATTGCTTTTCATCAGAACTATTCAGACCATCATTAAAAAGCCATTAGTAGTAATATTATCTTGAATTTTATTATTAGATCAAGCATTGTCAGCCATTATTAATTTTTCACCAGTATTTTTTCATCTTAATTTAGTTGTTCTCAGACCATCATTGAAAGCCATTAGTAGTAATATTATCTTGAATTTTATTATTAGATCAAGCATTGTCAGCCATTATTAATTTTTCACCAGTATTTCTTTCATCTTAATTTCAGTTGAACTCAGACCATCATTCGAAAGCCATTAGTAGTAATATTATTTTGAATTTTATTATTAGATCAAGCATTGTCAGCCATTATTAATTTTTCACTAGTATTTCTTTCATCTTAATTTCAATTGCTTTTCATCACAAATACTCAGACCATCATTCGAAAGCCATTAGTAGTAATATTATCTTGAATTTTATTATTAGATCAACCATTGTCAGCCATTATTAATTTTTCACTAGTATTTCTTTCATCTTAATTTCAATTGCTTTTCATCACAAATACTCAGACTATCATTCGAAAGCTATTAGTAGTAATATTATGTTGAATTTTATTATTGTTTTCATTTACTTTTTCATAGATGTTATCATCGTTAATGAAGCCTCATTTTCTATTGGTAAATGTGTATATCCATAATTACAATTCCCCTGCCATTATCAGAAGTAAATATGCTAATTCTTTCAGGGCTTTTATGTATCTACACTCTTCCCTTTTTATATATCGTGTTACACAGAAACAAGAATGAACTTTATTTTGATGTTTATAGAAAAGCTACCAACAAAAATGACCTGGTCAGTTTCTACTTAAGCCACTCTTCTAAAATTAAATCTGGAGTAATTAAAAGTTTCTATTTGAGAACATTAAGAATTTGCAGCCCCCAATATTTACCCAAAGAAGAAACATACATAGAAAACAAATTCAAAAACCTACAATACCCATATCATTTCATCCACAATGCAAGAAAAAAAGCATATAAAATATAAAACCACAACAAAAATAATATCATCCATAATAAGTTATACAAGAACAGATTCCTAATACTATCGACCAATTCTGTCAAGTCCACTATCCAGAAGAACCTATCCCATCTAAACAGCATCCAGATAATCACAAACACTTTCAAGACTATCATGGATATAATCAGATCCACAAACCCACATAGCGATAATATTTCTGAAGCAGGCATATATAAAATAAGTTGCTAAAACTGTTCCTCACAATACATTGGAGAAACATGCAGAAAAAAACCCCCACATCTATGGGCACAAAAGAGACCTCATAAATAACAATTTAACAAATGCACTAGTCACACATAGAAATACATTCAACCACAATTTTGATTTTAAAAATGCTACTCATAAAAAAGAAAATAATTCACTCAGAAGAAAAATCCTTGAGAGTGCAACCATTGAATATTATCCAAATATTAATCTACAACTAGGATTTTTTCCCCAATATCATCTTTCCTAACAGAATCACTACTCTTCCAAGCCAACATACACAACACACATATCAATAAATCAAAAGAAAACAGTTGAATCAATCAACACCATACTAACAATATTTCTACATGGGAAAATATTCTCTTCAAACAAAGTAATTGATGTATTTTTCAATTGACCGTATGAATATATAATAGCATTTTGTTTGTTGTTCATAAATACTTTGTTTCAATAAAGTTATTGTTATAATGGAACACACCTATTCTATTGTTAATAGACTCTCCTACCTATAATAAGTAGGAGTCGCTCAGGGGGTCGGTCGGTCAGTCAGTCAATGCCGGACGACCGTTAGTCGGATACTAAAGCATCAGCGACCACAACTAGATTTCTCTGCGTCATTACATATTATATCAAGTTCCTAACGTTTTGTACATCGAACCTATTTTAGGACCGACTTAGTACAAATACAAGCCTCCACTGTGAAACCACTCCATAACAATTATTTCACTTTTTGCCTTGAAAATGTTCACATTGGACAAAATGTATTTGCTAAAATTACTATTTTCCTATTGTCCTTTATATATATATATACACACACACACGAGATATCTTTATGAAACTTACATCAAAAGCAATGCTTACTGCTTGTAGTCAACACACACATTTTCAAAATGTACTAATATATCTTTACAAAGCCGACAGTCTGCTGTTGATATATAATGGACTCTCTCGCCAGTTTCGACGTATGAGGATCTGACAGCTTACTTGATTCAGTTATGAAAGTTTGTGCGATAATCTTAAGTGGCATTTAAGACCCGCTAGTGATTTACAAAGGATGCCACATATGGGGCAAGTGTGAGGATTGTGAGATGAGATCACTGTTAGATTGGCTGACCTTTTAGATCTTGCTCTCGCTTCATGAAGATGATTCAGACAAGCAGATTGAAAATTGCTGAATCCACTAAAACACGTTGATCTCCATTCTACCCTATAAGAACAAATCAACATAAACTGCCAGAAAACCCACACAAGTGATTTGATTAAAGTGGTGAAGGCTTGTGCAGAACCATCCACACTTTTCGGAACTATTGATACACTTAGTTGGTGCAAATAAATGGCACAGACAAAGCAGATAATATACCTCAGGCTTTTCGTGTAAGAGTTTTCCATCTAGACCAATCGTGTTCTATAACACTAAAGAGCTTGGTCAGCCCTGGTAGACACTATTTGCCCATAGCTGGGACCTGAACAGGTGCTACCATCCCAGGTCAGGGCAGACCTGGGAACAACAGCAATTAAAAGGTGGTTCCACACTCCTTAAATCCTCCAGTCTCCTGATGAGAAAACTTGCTGCCAGATGTAGTTTACTGTCATACCCAGGAGATTATATATATATATATTTTTCAAAACATTTTTCATACATTTTTACAAAACTGTCTGCTGTTGACCTATATTTTCAAGATGCTCTAAAATGTCAATCACTAGCATAAATATATATGTATTGTATAATATAAATTGTTTCCTGATGTATTCATGTCTGTTGTTTAACTTAGTCTGTACTGCAAAGCATCTGACTAAAACCGAAATGCTAGCACCCATAAAAAAATGATTGTGGGGAAAATAGAAATGGTTTACCTCACAAACGCCCTCGCGTCTGCCTGGCCTGTGGGTTGAGAAAGGAAAGAAAAGATCCAAGATGGCGTCCGTGACTTTTAATATTCACGGTCTTGTGCAGTCACATGAAAGTCGCGTTACACACATGCTAATGAGGTGTGTCTGGGCTCCATAAAAGCAGGTTGCTTGGAGAAATTGGCAGAACGGCATTACACCCGTGTTTGGTGTACACGGCTTTGCGTTGCAGCGTGTCAGATATTTTCAGACGGAAAGAGTTGCGTCCCTTACACTGTTGAAGTCGACTCATTTGCTACAAGCTATTTTGGCCATTATTACAACATGGACAGATTCGACTTGAAGTTGATACCAGAGTTCGACGGCTCCCCCGCTGGCCTGTCTGTGGTCGAGTGGTGGGAAAAGGCCGAGCGGTCTGCCGGCTGTGTAAAATTAAAGATCCCACACTGGTCATCCCTCTTAGGCTCACCAAAGGAGCTTACGCTGTGTATCAGCAGCTAAGGTATGACGAGACTTGGAGGAAATAAAACAAGCTCTATACGCAGCATTTTGTGCGGACCCTTTGTCGCCTGGAGGCAGTTTATCGAGCGACGGCTTGGACCAGATGAAACAGTAGATGTCTTTCTGGCCGATTTGAGGAAGCTGGCCGCACCGTTCGGTGGAGCAAGCGACCAAATCCTAGGATGCGCCTTTCTGGCAGGACTCCCAGACAACGCAAGTCGACTGCTACGAGCATCGTCAAGGCTCAATGAGCTGGGGCTAGATGAGTTACTGGCCAGAGCCCGGAATATTCTAAAGGACGACGCGGAGCCGGTCTCAGCAGCTGTGGAAGCACCCGCACTGCCAACTGAGGACATAAATGTGGCGGACTGAACCACTTTTCCAAAGACTGCCAAAGCGGTGCGAAGGATACGCATAACCGAGGAACACGGAGACGTATGCGTTGCTTACAGGTGCGACAAGCTGGGCCACGTAGCAAGAAGCTGTCCGGGAAACGGGCAAGAGGAGTAAGCTACAGCACCAGTCTTCTCCCCAGATCGCCGCTGAACAAGGCGCTACCCGCAGTGAGCGTGCAGATTAACGGGCGTGAGCGCTTCGCACTTGTTGACACCGGGTGCACCCAGACCCTTGTACACAAGGCATGTTGTGACATGTGGGACGAGAAAAATATTCCAGTTTTGACTGTTGGCGGGGGCTTCTCTAACCTCTTGTGGAGTGAGTGTCATCCGCGCAAGCATCGGCGATGGGCCTGCAATAGCTGTACAAGCCCTGGTCGTGGACGGAGGGCTGCTCGGCTATGATCTGCTCCTGGGAATGGACGTCTTAAAAAAATTGGGTGGTGTCCATGTTGACGAAGAGGGTCGGGTGCGTTTCACTGAAACAGGTCTTGCTCTAGGTGCAGCAATGGAGCTGGAACGGCCTGACTTTCGTGCACAAAGTCCTGGACGGTATCTTGGAAATGGTCAGATGATCAACCGCCAGAGAAGCTGTACAACAGTGTGCCGGAGTATAAAATCCCCCCGCAAGCTCGTGCGGAGTACGACAAGGAGTTGCGAGCCTGGATTAATAACGGATGGTTGGTTCCTTATCCAGAGAAGGAATTGGGGCCCCCGAAGGGCCTGATCCCGCTAATGGCGGTTCTCCAGCACAACAAACAAAAGGTTAGGCCGGTGCTCGACTATCGGGAACTGAACGAGCACATGGACCCTTTTACAGCCCGCGCGGACGTGTGTACCGAGAGGCTAAGGGAATGGCGACAAGCAGGATCAAATGTATCTGTGCTGAATCTTCGCAAGGCATACCTTCAAGTGCGTGTGCACCAATCACTGTGGCCCTATCAAACTGTGCTTATCAAGGGGCAAAGGTATTGCCTGACCCGCATGGGGTTTGCACTCAATGTGGTGCCATCGATTATGCAGATGATTGTTGACGCCATTCTGACGGAGGATGAGCGCATACAGCGGGCAACATCTGCATATATTGATGACGTGTATGTGAACAAAGGAGTCATATCTGCGGCACGCATGAAGGAGCATCTCTACAACTTTGGCCTCCTCAGCAAGGAACCGGAGAGGCTACAGGATGGTGCACGGGTGCTTGGTTTGCAGGTCTGGAGAGAAGATGACGTTCTGTATTGGAAACGGGGAAACGAACTCCCAGACATGCCCCCCATTGTCACGCAGCGAAGCATATTTTCCTTGTGCGGCAAGTTAGTTGGGCACCTTCCTGTAGGTGGCTGGATGCGTGTTGCGGTGGCGTTTATCAAGCGGAGAGCATCTGACGTCACCACGGGATGGGATGACGAAGTTCTCGACGCCACTCTCAACCCCATAATGAGGGAGGTCCTCACTAGAGTACGCAAGGAAGACCCAGCGCGGGGCAGATGGTGCGTTGACAGCCAAGACCTCGGTGTGTGGGTTGACGCAAGCTCTCTTGCAACCGGGATCGATAGTTCATGATGGAGCCGTGGTGGAAGATGCTTGCTGGTTACGTCCAGAAAGGGACCCCAGCACATAAACCTAGCGGAGCTCAATGCTGTCATCAAGGGATCAACTTGGCGATCCTCTGTAAGTCGACCACCCTGCGTCTGTTCACCGATTCCGCTTTTGCGTTTATAAGTGGATCTCTGATACCCCTGACCGGGAGGGCCAGGGTGCGGACTAAAGCCACCAGCGAGATGCTTATCTGACGACGGCTCGACACGATCGTGAAGCTAGTGCAAGAGTACGCACTGACAATGGAGGTGTCCCTGGTCAAATCTAGCCTCAACAAAGCAGATTGTTTAACGAGGGTGCCCCAAAGGTGGCTTGACGCTGCTAAGAAAGCTATTGAGCCTGTGCAACCTGCCTGCGCTGCGTCCGTGAGTCCCGTTCGATTTAATTGAATCAAAGAAGTCCACCAACAAAGCGGCACCCTGGGGTCAGGCGGACACTGTATTTCGCCAAGTTGGTTGACCCAGGAGTACAAAAGACAGACGTCAGGAGAGTGGTCAGAAGCTGCGTGGCGTGCCAGTCTATAGACCCAGCACCCGTTCGCTGGAAGAAAGAGCAGCTGAGCGTGAGGAACCACTGGAGCCGGCTGGCGATAGATGTTACTCACCACAACGGCGAGGATTTCCTAACACTAATTGATTGCGGTCCATCCAGGTTTGCGATATGGTGGCTGCTGCGTCGGCAAGATGCAGCCACTATCATCCGTCAGTTAAACAGTATCTTCCTTGAACGTGGCCCCCCAACGGAGATATTAACTGACAATGGTACCGCATTCACCAGCGAGCAATTCGGGAGGTTTGCGGATGGCTGGGGAGTGCACCTACGGTTCCCTTGCGCCCACATACCGAGTGGAAATGGAATCATCGAGCGGAACCACAGGACCATCAAGACCATCGCAGCCAGGACGGGCTGCGCGGTGTCTGAGGCGGTCTACTTATACAACTTGACCCCGAAGGATGATGTCTCACCCTCTACGGCGCCAGCAGACACATTGCATAGGTACCACGTCAGAGTGAAGGGCATAGAGACCAACCTGCTGACAGAACTGAAAGTAACCGGAGAGAGGCTGAAGAAAGGCAATATCATCTGGATTAAAAACCTGCACAGCAAGTGCACAACAAAATACGGAACCGGACATGTCACTGAGGTGATCAGCCCACAGGCGGTACGGGTCGACGGTGTGCCCCGTCACGTTAAGGACCTGCGTCCGGCGACGCAGTTGCAACCACCGCTGGACGATGAGAGCTTAATCGGAATCTGAGACCAGTGAGGCATCGCTCTGGTTCATGCCAGCTCCATCAGGCAGTGACTCGGATATCAGTAGCCTTCCAAGGGATGCGGTGTTTTTCGACCCTCAGACCTCGGACAGGAGCACAAGCAATGATGAGGCTCGCAGCGTTCCTCTTCGAAGAAGTACCCGGCGAAAGCGATTGCCGCCTCCCTGTCAACTCTGTGATCATGAGGGAGTGTGGGGAAAATAGAAATGGTTTACCTCACAAACGCCCTTGCGTCTGCCTGGCCTGTGGGTTGAGAAAGGAAAGAAAAGATCCAAGATGGCGTCCATGACTTAATATTCACGGTCTCGTGCAGTCACGCAAAGTCGCGTTACACACATGCTAATGAGGTGTGTCTGGGCTCCATAAAAGCAGGTTGCTTGGAGAAATTGGCAGAACAGCATTACACCCTTGTTTAGTGTTGCAGCGTGTCAGACATTTTCAGACGGAAAGAGTTGCATCCCTTACACTGTTGAAGTCGACTCATTTGCTACAATGATCAATTTCTTATTTTTCTTCAGCATGGGCCAGCACAGTCAAGCAACAATGCTATAATAATGCAGCAGTCAAAACTTTAACTGCAAAACTCCAGTACTATTTCTATACCTGTGCCAACATATAGTAATGTACAATAAAATTCATTTTGTGTAATATTTTTATTATATCGCACATTGGGAATGTTGTTTATCTTAGTTTGTTCTGCAGAGTATCAAATCGAAATCTTCATAGTCTTTTTTCCTGTAAATGGCAATTTCCTATTTTTTGGAGGTGAAACAAAATACAGCTTGCACTCAACCTGTTTTCAAAATGTACTAATGTCTTACAAAGCAAACACTGTGCAATCAACACACTCACACATATATATATGTATGTGTATATATATATATATTTCAAAACATTCATAAACCTTTACAAATCTGACATTGTCTACTGTTGATATATATATTATAGGGAACCTGCAAACAAAATGCTGAAAGTATGAATGACCCATAGAGATGTTGATATGCTGCTAAACGAAAACAACTAACCAACTTCTTATGCTCTTCATTTAGTAACGCTTTACCTTGGCTCTTAGTCTTTGTATCGAGTGAATAATAGTATTAAAAAAAAAAAAAAAACTATTCAGTAATGTGGATAAGATTTTACTAATAAATTGTTCCTACCTGTATATACAAGTCCCCATTGCTTAGTGTCCTATAACGTCCACCTGTAATCTGTTTTCCATCTTTGTACCAAAGGACCTGTGGTTTGGGTTGTCCAGCAGTTTGGCAACTTAAATTGGTATTTTGCCCCTCAGATGCTTTCATTTGGGCTTCAGGGGCCTTCACAAACTCGGGCTTCTCCTCTAAATAAAAGTAAATAAATAAATGAAAATAAAAAAATTCAAAAAGGAATTTGTGAACAATAATGGCTTACAGAAATAATTAGGGATGAAAGTGAATTTATATTTATTTTTTTGAGAATTTACAGATTGCTATGAATAAACTGTCATCTAAATGATGCAAAAATGAAAATAACATTGACATCTCATTTTAACAGATATTTACCAAAATGACATGCAAATATCTTGAAATACTAAAGAATAAATCTATCCAATAAAAATCACCATTTGCTTCACCCATGGCCTCCATACGAATTTTGGAATCAGCTGCATCTCTTCTGGATGGTCTTCTTGTTTAATTTGGTGAATGCTGCCATAATCCTTGCCTTCAGTTCATCTTTGGTGTTACAAGGAGTTTTGTTGGTCCCTTGCTCAACAGCGCCCCACACATAATAATCAAAGTGGTTACAGTCTGGAGAGTGAGGTGGCCAGATGTAAGATGTGGTCACAGAAATTGTCTGACAGCCATGACTGGGTTCTCCTGCTTGTGTGGCTTGGTGCAGAGTCCTGTTGCCAGACATAGGGTCTTCCACCAGCCACCCTGTTAACCCAGTGCAACACTACCTCCTCAAGGCACTTGTTGTAGGCCTTTTTGTTAAGTCTAAGGTAAAATGAATGGAGATATAACGTCGCCATCAATAGTGATCATTCCAAACACCTTCATAATCACCATTAGACTCATCCAACTCTTTTTGAATCCTCTGTACTGTCTTTAGATTGACACCCAAACACTCTGAAATGTTTGTATTGGAGCTTCTGGTGTGAGTGCAAAGCAGTACAGCCTTGCATTTCCAAATTTCTGGTGGGGTGAATTTCTCCCAGACTGTGCCCAACTGACTCTACTATACTGTGCAGTTGACAAAATCAAAAACAGAGTGGACCTGGGAACAACAGCAATTAAGAAGGGGTTCCATGCTCTTCAAGACCCCAAATCTCCCAATCAGAAACCTTGCTGCCAGATGTAGTTTATCATCATACCCAGGACTGGTTCCTATTGACAATCAAAAGGAAAGATGCATTGGTGATAGCAGGAAGATGGTGGAGGTCCTTACTCCCAACACAAAAGTATTTGACTTTCTGGTGACATGTGACAAAAGTTGAATCTACTGTTGTGACCCAAAGACCAAGAGACTAAAAGTGTTCAACAGAAACATCCAGACTCCTCTACACACACACAAAAAAAGGGTGAAACAAAGTGAAAGTTACCAGAAGGATTATCCTCTTTTTTTGACAGCACAGGCATCATCTACATCTCCTTGGTATGCCCTCTGGCCAGATGGTCAACAAGGAGTACTTTAAGGAAGTTCAGGGAGAAATTTTGTCACAAAATGTCTGAGGTCTTCTACTTGAGTTGGGAGTACTTTTCATCAAGATCATGTGCCAGTTAACAATTCCATCCTAGTAACCAAGTACTTGATACAGATATGGGCATTGAAACAGTCCCTCGCCCTCCCTACAGTCCAGGCCTTGCCCACTGTGACATTTGGTTGTTCCCCAAACTGAAGGAAAACCTTTTGAAGACATTGAGAAGATGAAGGAAGTTGTGACAAGGATCCTGGATACCTCCACCTTGCTTTTATTGACTGATTTATTTTTTTTTTTACTGTTTATCAACCCTTTGCAGGTTATTTAAAGCTAGAAAAATGTATTTAGATTATGAGAACTTATTTTTAAGATAATAATGGTTTAGTGATACAAGTTTTCCTAATTAATCCATAGCTAGGAGAAGAGAAATTAAGTAGGTTATTCTCTGTCCCTCTTGCCTTCAACATGGGAGTGTCAAATTTTCCAATTCCTCTTTCTTCATTATGTTTTAGAAATTTTAACTTGTTTTCTGATTATAAATATAAAAGCCCATTTTGTTTCCATAAAAATTCCTCACATGTTCAGTCCTTGATATTCTCAGCATCCTTCTGTAGAATCACATTTCTGTTGCCTCTGTTGTTCATGTGTGAGGAGATTATCCTGAATTTGTTGCTATATAGGAGGATTATTATTATATAACAGTTCAGTACTGTTATCTTTGCTTAACAGCATTATATGTACAGGCTTCCAAAGCACTGCCTGTTGACCTCCCACCCCAAGAGGCTTTCCAGGTACTACTCACTTCTCTGTGGTAGGCTTCTGAAGAGAATACACATCAATTTCTGTATAATATTTCTTCTATGAACTTACCCAAGACATTTAGGTAGGCATTAGTAAAGACGTATCCATATTTATTACTGATGTTGCATTGGATTGTCATGGCATCTTCCTTGATGAGATTTACGATTGTCAGGTTGGTACTGCTAATAAAATATTTATTCACGTCAAGATTTTTCTCTGAAAAGAAACAAAAATATCATTACAGAAGAGTTATAACCCTTAGACCTAATCTCAACTTTTCTTAAAAAACAAATTGCTTTGTTATCTTCATGTCAGTGTCATAATGTTAAATTTCATTTTGTAAACACAAGGGGCATCCAAGAGTTATGCAAATTCTATCACAGGACATACATTTCTTAATAAAATTATTAATTTTGTAAAATATATCTATTAAATGCTTTGGTAGACATCATCAGTCAGGTTTCTAGCCAAGGTTCGTTTTGGGTTTTTCAACATAGTGACCCAACCCATACTGATCAGATCTCAACTTGTGTACCTTCCATTAGCTACAATTTTTCCATCCTCCCAGCCACACACTGCGACTCCTCTTGACAATTTATGGTTCAATCCTAGATAACTTCTGGTTCACCAGCAATGTGCGCTCTTCCATAAAAAAAGGAAGCAAACACAACCACAGTTTCTATCTGGTAAGGAACATGGCAGTGTGCCTGACTTGAAATGGTAAGTAATGATTTGTTTCCCCTCACAGAGATATATACACACACATACACATGCTGTAAAAGGTACATACACTCTTTGTATTTATGTAATTTGTTTTTGGGGTTTTTTTTTTTTTTGGTTTTTTTTTTTCCAGATACATGAATACATGAGCTATGAAAATGTCTGGTAATGGTAAGTGTGTTCTCTTTCTGGCAAAAAGAATAATATTTACAAAAGACAAAAACATACATAATGAATAATGTGTTGAGATGGTGATGAAGAAGTGAAAACTTCTGTAAAGAATTGGATACATTAGCAGTCAGACGAGATTTATAAAGCTGGGTTACATGACCGCCCATTTGTAGGTAGGACACTGTCCTTGAAAAGAGGTGATTTTTTTTCTTGAGATAATTGTTTTAGTGATACAAATCTTACTAATTAACCCATAGCTGAGGAGTGAAGAGGTGGCTTTGTTAGGGTCAGAAATGAAGACACAAGAGAGGAATTGAGATAAACAAATATATTAACAGAAACAGTAATACAAACAAGAATGTTCAGTCCGACTGTCAGAGCTGACTGCTGGAAACTTCCCTCTCCAAAAGGCAGTACCTGCTCCTATTTATAGCTGGGAAAGTCCATGTGTGCAGGAGTAAATTACCATAACATATATGGAATCAGAATTTGATAGCCAAACAAGATATTTTAATGCGGATATAAAGAGAGGGATCAATTCTATATTATAATCAATATATAAACTGATCCCTCACTTTGTGGTAAATGGTACTTTTTATACATTTATATTTCAGAGAATATAAATAAATCTAAAAGACATACCTTTACAGTTTATCAACCCTTTACAGGTTGGGGGGGGGGCAAATAATGATGGTTTAGTTATAGAAATCTTACTAAAAGAGAAACATTTACAACAGACTGAAAATATATATACAAAGGTAAAGCTTTAAATCACAACAATGCAGAGATGGTGATGAAGAAGTGAAAACTTCTGTAAGGAATTGGTTACATCAGCAGTCAGAGTTTTACGAAGCTGGGACACTGCCTTTGAAAGAAGTGATTTTTTTTTCTGGAAATAATCATTTAGTGATAAAAGTCTTACTAATTCATTTTTACTCTTAGAATATCAGAGAGTATAGGGCCAATGCAAGCATTTTGTGACCCCCCCAATCTATATCTCAATTTTAATAAGGTAATATTTATATAAAATGCTACAAAATTTACTGTAATCTAATAATGTACAATAATGGATCATATGCAGTACAGGTGAACAACTAGAAAAATTGAAAATGAATGCAATTTATCTAAATACAAATTAGAGACATGTCTTAATAGATACTTCCATCTTAAATAAATCAACGTTTTGCGGCAATTTTTAACATCAACTAGAGATTTTTCTTGTTAAAAAGTTGAAAAATTTTTAACACATTCAACATTATTGATGAAAAAAATAATGAATTTTATATAGTTTTTTTTTTTTTTTTTTTTGAGACTTAGCATAAGCAAAACAAATTCATGGATTTGGATGAAAAAAAATTTACCTAAATCACCGACAAAATGGCATTAATGAAAATTCTTATTTTTTTTTTTTTTTTTTTTAATTTTTTAAACAAGGTTTAATATTTTGATAAAGTAATTCTTATTAGTTAAAACTGTTATATTCTTTTCCCAATTTTTTCAAAGACTATACCAAAATTTGATAAGGAAAACTTACCATTTTACTTAACAAGATCAATGTCAATGTCTCATAGCCCCCACCCTGAAGCTATGATATGACCCCCCAACACTGTTGTATCTCAATTTTCATAATGTAGTGTTCATATAAAATACAAATATTATTGTAACCTAATTATGTGAAATAATGTATTGTATGCAATATAGATGAAGAATTCAACTAGAAAAATAGGAAATAAATACAATTTATCTAAATACAAATTAGAGACCTGTCATAAATAGATCATTACATCTTGAAAAAAAAAAAAAAAAAAAAAAAAAAAACACAATGTGGCAATTATTAACACCAATTTGAGATTTTTCTTGATAAAAAATTGAATTTTATATAGCGTTTTTTTTTTTTTTTAAACTTAGTATGAGCAAAAATTCACGGCTTTGGATGCAAAAAATATCCAGAATGACACCAAAATTCATGAACGTTTTTCATCCTTTAATATTCAGTTGGGCTTAGTTTAATTAGTAACATATATAAATCGTTATCTTAGTTCTTGTTCTTTTATTTTCCTCTCATTAATAGCAGTTTTTCTCATTCTATAGCACTCAGTAGCCCACTGTGTCACAGTGGCTTTATTGCCTTGCTTAGGGTAAATTATTAAAAAAAATATAATGTAATTAGGAAAAAAAAAGCAAATGTTGATTAAGATAGCAAGGATCACAAAGCACTTCCTGGGGCTCTCAATTTTTCTATTAAGTATAATTCTACAATGTAAATTTGGAAAACTAGTCATTGACTACCTTGGATTAAGAGGTTAGTATGGTGGAAAAAAATAAAAAAATATTAAAAAATGGGCAACAAACGACTGGTGGAAATTTTAGAAATTATAATCATTCTCACTTTCTAGACAAACATCCACACACCTTTAACATTTTTTAAAATAATAAAACTGATAATCATTATTTACATTGTTCAGACTAATCTTCATCGCCATATTGTAATGATAAAGTCAACCAAATAAGAGACCTAGAGTTAGTTGCATGTGGTCCAGTAAACACCAGGAGTTATGTCCCCCCTTTCACAATTGGCTGTTGAGAAGAGGACATTCTACTTGGAGTAGGTGGTGCTAGTAAAATTTGCTTATGAATGATACCAAGCAGGTATTAGCGCAGGGCTGGGATAGAGAGAGCTATTTTGACACCAGCTTTTTCTCAGTCAGAGGGAAAGTGCTCTTGATACATGGACAATTGGAATTTTATGTTGGCGTTTACATTTACTTTACTCTGGTCTTCTTCAGGTGATATTTGTTGGAATTTTTACCATTACCTTGTTAGTAATGCGGCTTGGCTTAACATCTTGTAAATCCTAAATCAAAACCCAAATCATCGACGCACAATAATTCACACTAATTTGACTGGATAGTTGTTATAGTGGAACACACCTATTCTATAGTTAATAGACTCTCCCACCTATAATAAGTAGGAGTAGTAAGAGTAACGAGGGAGTCGCTCAGTGAGTCAGTCAGTCGATGTCGGACGACTGTTAGTCGAATACTAAAGTATCAGCGACCACAACTAGATTACTCTGCGTTATACCTATTATATCAAGTTCCTAACGTTTTGTATGTCGAACCTATTTTAGGACCGACTTAGTACAAATACAAGCCTCCACTGTGAAATCCCTCCATAACAATAGTTCCACTCAATAGTCACTCAATAATCACTTCAGCTAGTAGCCTGACACTGCTAGTTATACACCTAGTGGAAAACATATTCATAACTCCAGAGTGTCACACTTGAAGCTCAGTGTCAGTAGTTACTTGTTTTCTTCCACTATGACAAAGGGAGAACAAGAGAAGGAAAAGAAGGAACAGTAAAAAGTAGTGAGAGAAAAGAAGTAGTAAGAGAAATGAACATTAACACAATAATTCACACTAATTCAACTGGATAGTTCCACTTAATAGTCACTGCAGTCAGTAGCCTGACGCCAATATTTATACATCTGGCAGAAAACATATTCATAAGTCCAGAGCTTCATGCTCAAACCTTGATGTCAGTAGTTACTCATTTTCTTCCTAGATGATAAAAACTGATGCTACCAACATTTTAGATCAGAAAAAAAAAAATTAATTCAACTTTAAAAAAAAAAAAAAATGTTGAAGTACTTACTGCTGGTCAATACACCATCTATGAACCATTGGCGAACATCAGGGCTTGGTTGACTCTCTGCATCACAGATAAATGTTGCTGATCCTCCAACACTGGATTCTACATTCTGGGGTTTGCGTATCCACTGAGGTTTGGCTACAAGAAAAGAAAAAATTCAGTTCTGTGTGTTAATTTAGTGTGGGTATCTGTCATATGTGAATGAAAGTGTCACTGCTGACACCAGAGTTTGAATCTCTAGACAATGAAAATGTAGACTGCCATTTACTATAAATAGAGATCATGCCACTGACTGAGCATTTGCAATTATGTGTTAACTATTTATTGTGTTAACCTGGATGTTAAAGTTGAGTGCAACATGTTTCAAGACAGATTACTTTGCTCAATTTAGTAGTAGCAATGGGAGTAATCAGCAGGGTACAACTGGAATTCCTGAACTCATAAAAACACTGACTGAGCCGTATTTGGCCACTTTCTACACTTTTCATTGCCTGCTACCTTCAAAGCCAGCTTTTTCCCCTGCTTTTTCTCTCTCCAGCGGCCGCTACCTCCACAGCCAGCTTGAATAACTACTCAGAACCCTTGCTGACGAGATATGTAATCTGTCCTGGCAGCTTGACTTTTGATTTCTCATTCCTCATGGTCACAAGTGGAGAAATCTCCCTCTACGAAACATCTACTCAAGGGAAAAAACACTTAATAGGTAAACCCAACTCTTTTACCCATTAAATACCTCCATTTTGCACTCAATTGCAAATAAAAGCTGTTAAACAGTTATTTCAAGCCTTGGGTTAATGGTTAATTTTGTTTAGTAACATGTCAACACATTTATGGGTTATTTAATGCTGAAATATAAAATATTTTGAACACAATTTAATGACTTCAACTAGATAAAATGTATTGTTGGTCATTTTGCTATAAAAAGTATTGTTGATTGATTTTGTTTAACTGCTTATCAACCTCTATGGGTTATTTAATGCCGAAATCTAAATATTTTGAATACAATTTTATATTTCAGTGTAAAGGTATGTTTTTAGGTATATAATTTGTAGATCATATAATGTACTGTTGGTAATTTTACGATAAAAATGTATTATTTTTAGTGTTGTATTTATTGTTGGTCTTTTTATTATATAAATGCATTGTTGATTTTTGTTTGGGCATTTACTATTTGCCCATAGCTGGGGCCCTAACAGGTGCTACTACCAAAGTCAGGGTGGACCTGGGGATAACAGCAGTTAAGAGGTGATTCCATGCTCCTCAAAATCTCCTAATCAGAGACTTTGCTGCCAGATGTAGTTTCAAGCCTTGGAGTTGTTCATTCCACTCTATACACTGCAGAACAAACACACACACAACCGAAAAAAATTCCTACAAAACCAAAAATTTAAAAACAACTGACCTAGTATTCTAAACACATGCATTTTAGCTTTTTCTTATAGACAATTAGATGTCATTAGACAAACATCCATGGCTATATTGCTACACCTACAAACCTAGGGCAAGGAGAGCTGCAGATGTTGGTTATTTGATCTGGCAGATATGTGGCATCCTGTCCAGATAACATCAGCAATATACAAATATTTGAACACAGAATGGAAAAATTTTTTTTTAAAAAGACATCATGCATAACTTATGTTAATTTTATTCAATGCCACTAGAAAACAGGGAAAGGGGGGATTACAAGAAGTGAAAGTGAATGCAATGATTGAAAATAGAGAGGCCTGAGGAAATGACAATATAAAGGAACAGGGTTCAAGAAGATAGGAGATAGTGATTGACATTGCATTTAATTTTTTGGAAGTTGTAGTTGTCAGGGAAGCAAAAAAGCAGAAGGGAGCTCAACAGGTGAGAAGTGTGAGTAAAGAAACTGTTAGAGTACAAATGACGGTTGCATTTAGCTAGTTCAACAGTAAAATGGTGAGACCTAATTGCCAATCTAGTAACATGCTTAAATTAGTAGATTAATGTAGGTGGCTTACATTTTGTTAAATACATTTTATTAAAAAAAGGTTCTAATGTCACCAACTTTTATGCCTCCTACCACCTCCTTTTACCTCACCATTACTCGTTGGATGTATCCACAGGTGAGTTAATACCACTCACCTTTTGAATCTATTTGGATATTAAATACATTTAAATAGCACAAGTTGTATTCTTTCCATTCAAAAGGGGTCACCCAATTTGTTTAAGTGCATGTGGTTTAGCACTAACCTTCCATAAACATGAGATAACATCCTGGTGTATTAACATACTGTAAAAGAATTGTGTCATAATGGACATTACCCGCCTTGTCCATAATTATGATCGATGGTGAAAAAACAGGGAATTGTGGGTAGAAAAGTGGCTAGATGAGTCAAAGACAAATTAGTTAATAGGGTGGCTTGATCAAGTACCAAGAAAACAGACAAAAGGACTGACCAACCAGTGAAAGAAGAAGAATGAACAAAAGCAGGAATGATTTGTCTGGTAAGTGAAAGACATAAAAAGGTCCCTGTTATATGTCTGTGACCCAAGAGTTCAGGAAATCAATCTCATTTAGATAAACAGCCATATTTATATTAGCCATTAGTTAAACAAGAATTTTTAGAAAATAAATTTGAATAGATAAACTTACAGTAGACAGAAACGAATATCTTGTAATTTGGACTTGTTTGGGTCAGTTTATTTCGGCCAGAGCATTCATAGTTTCCAGCATCCTCAAATTGAAGGTTATTAATTCGTAGTTCTTGTCCAAAACTGTACAGCTGATATTTTGAATCAGATAATTGTTGATTATTTCGCGTCCAAAAAACTTCAGGAGTCGGACTGAAATGGAAAGGAAAGTTTTGATTATCATAGGTATAAAATCTCTCTCTCTCTCTATATATATATGTGTGTGTGTGTGGCACAAAATGCAGTGGTTGTTCATCATAACAAAATTTACCACAATTTTGACATAAGGAATGCTACTTTGGTTAAAAGAGAAAATAATCCACAGAGACAAAAATATCTAAGAAAAAAAAAAAAAAAAAAGAAAAGTTTCTTGATCGTTAGTTGAGCCACAGTAAATTTGTATCCAGGCTCTTATGATATATCACCATTCTTGGTAGATTTTCTGTTGCAACAAAGGTGAGAGAGAGAGAAAGAGAAAGAATATAGATGAATTTAGCTAGACTGGAAAAATATTCTTTCAAAAATTTTGAAATTACCAGTGTCTCTCGTTTCATGCAGATGAAACACATCACAAAAACTTTTCCATTTTGTTATACTAATATATATATTATATATGTGCAGTACTTATTGGAAAGCGCTCGATATCAGTGACAGAGCTAACATATTAAGTTGTATAGATACAAGTTTGTAACCCTAGGTTTCATGCTTTTTGCAATCATCAGACCTTGCAAAAGTGTGAAATTCAGAGTTACAAAATCATATCCATACGACTGAATGAATATATATATATATATATATATATATATATATATATATATATATATATATATATATATATATAACCACTCTGCAATGAGAACCTTCAAGATTAATAACTTAATGTACTTACTTGCCTACCCATATACATTTCATTCGGGCAGTTTCACCCAACTCAAATGACAATTCACTTGGGGAAGCCCACATCCGTCTAGGTTCCATCTCAGCAGCCTGGGCTTAAAAAATAAAACAAATAAAACTATGGTCAAAATTTACACAAAAAAATTTATTCTAAACCAAAATCCCTATAAGCATTTGCCACACAAGCAAGTGACCGTCATACACACTAACCCTTCCCTCCAAAAGTACTAAGCCTCACCAAGAAAAAAAAAAAAAAAAAAAAGATTTGTAATTGAATATTTTTGTTGTGCCCACACATTACCACTTCTTATAAAACTAGAAAAACTAATTCAGTGGGCAATTTCAACTATTAGGTGGGTGGAGTGATATACGATTTTGAGTATTAAATAAATGTATTGTTGATTTTTGTTTGGGCATTTACTATTTGCCCATAGCTGGGGCCCTAACAGGTGCTACTACCAAAGTCAGGGTGGACCTGGGGATAACAGCAGTTAAGAGGTGATTCCATGCTCCTCAAAATTTCCAAGCTCCTAATCAGAGACTTTGCTGCCAGATGTAGTTTCAAGCCTTGGAGTTGTTCATTCCACTATACACTGCAGAACAAACACACGCACACACACACACACACACACAACCGAAAAAAATTCCTACAAAACCAAAAATTTAAAAACAACTGACCTAGTATTCTAAACACATGCATTTTAGCTTTTTCTTATAGACCATTAGATGTCATTAGACAAACATCCATGGCTATATTGCTACACCTACAAACCTCGGGCAAGGACAGCTGCAGATGTTGGTTATTTGATCTGGCAGATGTGTGGCATCCTGTCCAGATATCAGCAATATACAAATATTTGAACTCAGAATGAAAAAAAAAATGTATTTCAACATATGCCAACTAAAAAAGAATTTTCAAAGAAAGATATGCACATATAAAATATTATATGGTAATCCGTATGGAATTTCCAAGAGGATATAGATCCAGAGAGAGCTCTGTATCAAAAGACAGAGCAAAATTATTATTAATTAAAGAATATCAAACACTTAATATCCCATAGGTAATAATTTTTATTTCATGAAAACACTAAAAAAGCAGTTCTCAATCTTCAAGATCTACAAAGAAAACAGACACAAAAACAACAACCCAGGAAGGCTGGTCATTTCATCATTTAACTGCCATATGATCAAAATATCCAAATACGTAGACCATTACATACAACCCCTAGCTAAGGAAGTAAAATCCTACATCAGAGACAAAACAGATCAACTAAACAGAATTAACTATATACAGTGCTAGAAAATGTTACTCTACTAACCAAGGATGTAAGATCACTTTATTCAAACATCAAACACATCAAAGGACTAACTGCCCTTAAAGAAACACTTACTAAAAGAACAGAACAAGAACCCTCACCCCACCTGACAAAAGTAATCATAAAACATATCAAACATATTCTTACATTGAGTACTTTCAATTTCAATGGAAAACACTACCTACAAGTAAGAGGATGTGCCATGGGGACCATTGCAGCTTCATCATATGCCACAATCTTCATGGGAAAATTTGAGGAGATCCATATTTATCCCTTCAATGGTAACAATGCATATTCTATGCAAGATATATCGATGATATCTTCTTCATACACATCGGCAGTGAGGAGAAACTCACCGAATTCCTTACGACCCTAAACACAGTACACAACTCAAGTTCAACCACAGAAAAAAAAAAACAAGATCGGTAACATTTTTAGACACCCACATCTACACTGATAAAAACAGAAAACAACAACTGACACTACACACTAAAATCACCATCACCCACAATGATCTACACCAAAAACATCACAAGGAGGACCTTCCCTATTCACAAGCACTTAGAAGGATATGTTCTAACAATGAAGAACTAAGTAAATACACTGTTATGGCAGGTAAGTTTTTTTTTTTTTTCTCCATATGAGTACGAATTCCTCGTCGCCAAATTTGTTATGGAGTGATTTCACAGTGGAGGCTTGTATTTGTACTAAGTCGGTCCTAAAATAGGTTTGACGTACAAAACGTTAGGAACTTGATATAATAGGTATAACGCAGAGTAATCTAGTTGTGGTGGCTGATACTTTAGTATTCGACTAACTGTCGTACAGCATCAACTGACTGACTGACCCACTGAGTGACTGACTCGTTACTCTTACTACTCCTACTTATTATAGGTGGGAGAGTCTATTAACTATAGAATAGGTGTGTTCCACTATAACACACACTAAAAATCTTGAGCATCAATTCATAACATGTGGCTATAAACAACACCTAAACAGGTAACGAATAAATCAATTTCCACACGTAATGTATAAAATTAAAAATAAATCCAGACACATCCCTCTAGCAACCACTTTCAACACCACTCTTCCTCCACCAAGTTGCTGGGAAATACTACATCCCAAACCAGACCTAAAAACTTTGAGGAACCTGGCCTTCTAGCATATTGTAAATGTAAGAACTTTAAGGAAATTATAGGTAGTAACTAAATTTCAGATAAGGTAACTTGTAATAGACCAAAAATAAAAACAGAATTTTTCCAACAATGTTGCAACAAAAGGAGCTTATGCTGTAACCACATTGGACATACCAATTTTTCACTAGCCCAGTCACTAAATCTACTTTCAAAATCTACCACAACTGTAGAAGTCATAACATAATTTACCTCCAAGAATGCACACTATGCCAGAAACAATATGTGAGAAAATCTGAATGGCCCTTTCACTACAGAATTAATAATTATCAGAATCGGATGAAGTCCGCTCCCCACGAAAGATTATTACCTGTAGAACAACATTTCTGCCTAGAAAAATATGATTTTAAAAACCATGCAAAATTCACTATAATTGAAAAAATGGAAATAGACAGAAAAGATAACCTTAGAAAAATACTAAAGGAACATGAAGACAAATGGATTTTGCACCTCAAAACACTTTGTCCAGATGGACTTAACCACAAATTTAACAACACAGAATATATAACCCCCATAAATCAAGCCCTACCCACATTTCTTACACACTCAAGACAGACATGCTTGCAGAGGTCACACACTTATACACACATTCATACAAATGTATACACATACACACAGACTCCCAAAGAACTAAAAGATAGCATACACTTAACACATACATCCCATTCTTAGCAACCAATAAAACTGTCAAAATGACCAAGGAGGTAATTCTGAAAGTCAGGAATCTCCCATCTTCTATTTTAAAAACAACTTGAAAGAGGCCATTTAACCAACATAAGGACTGACCAAAATTAATGATAAAAAACAAAAAAACAAATGAAAACTACAGATAAAGTTCACTTTCTCCAGTAGTTCACTGCTACTAACAAGCAGGGATTTTTTTCTCCTGATGATGGCTATGTTGGCTGAAACTAGTCAAGGAATCTAATTGAAATAATGAAAAAAATAAAATATTAATTTTTTAATATTTTTTATTGTTCAAAACACACACAGATAGATAGATATAGATAGATAGATAGATATAGATATAGATAGATAGATATAGATAGATAGATATAGATATAGATATAGATAGATATAGATAGATAGAGTTTTCATTGGTTAAATTTGCTTTGGTTTGTTCTTTAATATAGCAGCAGCTGCTGCATAAGTCAATGTTATTTGTTGCCACCCTTTAGTATTTTTTTTTTTTTTACATCATCCTAAAGTCAGTTTATGAACCAATAACAAACTTTTATCAAACAATTTTGGTATGCTTTTGAATATTTACTGTACAGATGAGTGGTGGAAAATGTTTCCATGTAAATGTGGGTGATGATGCAAAAAAACTTTGAGAACCCCTGATGTAAGTGTCCAAATATTCAAGTTGGCAGTGAATAAGTAAACATATCTATCAAATACACTCACTAATTACAGATCGTTAATAAACTAAGCTAAATATTAGAAATAAGTTTGTTTTTTTTTTAAATCAATTCTGAAGTAAAGCAAGGTGATAATACAACTAAGATGCAAGTGCCTACTGAGAGTGAAAGAGAATGAAAAAACTTTAGAAGGTACTGGAAACCCAATCTTAAACAGAGAACAAGGGATAAACCTTTACTCCTGTTCAAAAGAATAGGGAGGAGTATAGAAAGACTGTTGATCCAATTATCTCATTCACAAGTCAAGCTAAGAACAGCTTATCAATTTAGCAAAATGGTGGTATAGCCAGGCATGAGCTGCCTGATGACCATAATAAGATAGAATTAAAACTTACATCCAGTTGGAATAATGTAATATTCCTTTCCTTGTGTATTTGTCCGCACAAATGTATTCATTGCCATACACGCATATGCCCGTCCATTTTGATAATCTTTTTTTTCAACGTTGGTTATAATTAGACGACCTGGAAATTAAAAAAAGATCTTTTTAACTTTTAAGCATTTTACCCCAAGCAAAGTGGGAGTGCACTAGCATGAAAGGGATTACAGAGAGTGAAAGTAAGAGTAAAGGTGGGGTGAAGTAAGGATAAAGAGAAGGACGAGGATCAAGATCAAGGCATCAAATGATGTTGATTGACATTACATTTAAATTTTTGAAGATTGTAGTTATCAGGAAAGCGAGTAAGATGAAGGGAGTTAAACTGTTGGGAAGTGCAAAAGAAGAAGATCTTGGAGTAGAAGAGGCAGTTATATTTAATGGTTTTAACAGTAAAAGAGTGATGCCAACCTAATAGTATGCTTAAATTCATGCAGTTGGGGCACCAGTGAAAATAGCTCTTCAGAGTAGTTACCATGAAAATATTTTTAGAAAAGACAGAGGGAAGCCACATCATGTCTGTGAGGTTGGTTGGTTGGTTGTTTTGTTTTATGGCATATCAACCCCAGTGGGTCATTTAATGCCAACAAAATTTTTGAAATAGGTTCATAACAATCATTTGGTAAAAAAAAGTTGTGTGTGTGTGTGTTCATATATATATATATATATATATATATATATATATATATATATAAAAATAAAAAGAAAGAACAGTAAGATATATAATCTGGTGTTCTTATAGATATTTTTATTTTTACAAAATAGTGCTCAATGTAAATTTATAGAGCATAATATTATAAATTAATTGATTTAAAATATGGTTTTTTCCGCTACACAGTTCTAACCATGTTTCAAAAATAGAAGCTAAAAGCCCTGAATTTAATTTTGCAATTAAATTAAAAGCATTAGTTCCATTTCATCCTCAAGCGAATTTTGGAGTAACTTTTAAAAATTACTGGGTTTTAAAGACACAGCATATGAACCATTTTTAAATTACTCATATTTTTTAGTACAATCCAACTTCTTTTAGGAAATTTACAATTTTGGATTGTATTATTTTCATAAAAAAATTTTTAAATTACTCACTTGGTAATATTTTGTTTGCACTAGATCAAAATCTACAAATTCTAACAGTATATATTTCACTGTAAATTTCTCTTGGCATGTAGTGGATATTGGGGATTCTGTGCCCTCTAGTAAATAATGGCGGGAGATGTACGTGTGGCATATATGAAGGTGGGTCAGCATAACCTGTTCTCTCCTATTTTTATATTCTGAGTTCCGTTCTCCAATAGTAAGTTTAATGTTGTGGAGTTTGTTATTAATTTATGAATTTTATGAATTTATTGTGGGGCGTTGTGGTTATTATATCAAGTGCTAAATTAATAGCAATTATTTCAGCACTGTATATTGAAGCTATGTTTGTAATTCTTTTCCATTGGTTATTGCATTTTAGTATGGCAGTCACGTCTGTGAGAAAGTGACTGGAGTCAAGATGCCAGGTCAAGACCTAGCACATTGCATATCCGTCTTTGGATTTTGTTGAGGACCTCAAGATGAACAGTGGGGGCAGCAGACCATATATGGCAACAGCATTCAATGCAAGGATGACTGGTAGATTTGAAGGATGGCCTCAGACAAGAAAAACCTTCTGGCACAACACAGAGAACCAACTTTCCTTGCAGTAGATGCAGCAATTGATTCAATGTAGTTGTTCCACATCAAGTCAGTGGAAAACACAAGACTGAGGAGGTGCAGAAAGACACACTCATGAAGTTGAGCATCAGCTATGCTGATAGGAGGAAGGGAGCTTTCTTTATTGTGGGTAAATAAGAGCAGTTTCATTTTGGAGGTATTAATGTTTACAAGCCATTTCCTGCCCCAGTCAAACAGAGATTGGAGGTACTTTTCAAGACCAATGACCAGGTTAACTTTGTCAGCAACGCTCAAATTAAATTTTAGAAAAGACTGTTTATAACTTTTGAAATGTTAACCCAACTTTGTTCAAACAACTGAACATTCTTAATACAGTAAAACTGAATTTAAAAAAAAAAAAAAAAAAAAAAAAAAAAAAAAAACTAATTTGAAGAGAATGTTTTCTTCAAATATGAAGAGGCAGACATCTCTTTCCCAACAGCACAATGATTAAAATTTTTATAGTGATACAAAGCAAATATAAAAAATATAGATTATCTCCCTTTGGTAGATAACTGGTTTGTTTAGACAGTTACAGGATTTCGAATTTGGTTTGGTTTATTTTGTTTTTACGGCATATCAACACCTCAATGGGTTATTTTTAATGCCGAACAACATTTTAGGATAGACATTTTTATGAATAGAATATAGAATATTCTTTGGTTTAGATTGGTTTGGTTTATTTTGTTTTTTACCTCAATGGGTTATTCAACACCTCAATGGGTTATTTAATGCTGACAACATTTTTAGGATAGATTCGTATGAATAGAATATGTATTCTTTGGTTTAGATTAGTTTGGTTTACATTTTTTTTTTATAGCACTTTGGTTTCAACTTCAATGGGTTATTTAATGCCGACAACATTTTTTTATTGCTGGTAATATTTTGTTTTGTCAAAAATCGGTTTCTAGTAATGTTTTTCTTTCAAAATTGTATTGCTGGTAATAATTTTTTTCAAAAAAGTATTGCTGGTAATAATTTTTTTTTCAAAAAAAAGTATTGCTGGTAATAATTAACTATTTGCCCATAGCTGGGACTCTAACAGGTGCTATGACCCTGGGTCAGGGTGGACCTGGGAACACCAGCAATTAAGAGATGGTTCCACACTCCTCAAAACCTCTTGATTACAGGCCTTGCTGCTGGACGTTGTTTATTGTCTTACCCAGGACGTGGATATTTTACCCAGGACAAGACATAAAGAGGAGTCTATTTATCTGATAATAAATGGTAAAACCGAAAATTAGGTGCCAAATGAAATTTAGATGCCAAAGCAGAGGCCCAGACAACCATGAATGGAACAGACATGTTTCAGCCTACTCCAAGAACAGGTAATGCTGGCCATGAGCAAACTTGAATAATGCAAAGACAAGCAGCTATTGGAAGATATGAGAAACAATGGATAAGTATTTCAATCTATTGCAAACAGATACATGTATTTGGATATCATCCCTGGTACCATGACTTAACTGCTAAAAGAATATATTTTCAGCAATCCTCTGTTTTCATTCCTGTTGTATAATGTATTTCTTATATAAAGTTTGTTTTTTTTTAACTTTTGTCACATCTTTGTTCATTAGCCCCAACTCAATTTGGGAAGTTGTTAAATTTCCCCCATGGAGGGGGCATGGTGGAGTAACAGATAGTGGCTTAGATAGGGGAATCAGAGATCAGAGTTTGAATTCCAGTCGAATACATTACATTCACTTATGCACTGATGCCCTTGGGAAAGTTATGAATCCATTTCTTCTCCCCCCAGCTATGGGTAAATAGCAGGACAGACCAGGTTCTTTAGCCTTGGGTGGCAACTGGTCTAAGAAAAGGACAACTCTGAATTCAAAATCTGATCCTCCAGGTTGGGGGTTGTGCAGTAGGCTAACAACCCCACTCATTTAAAAAAACTGGCTTGCTACAGAAACCACAATGATATCTTCTGACCCTATATTCCTCAAGGAATTTAAAGGCATCATAATATATAAATTTCCTGCACAAATTATAAAAAAAAAAAAAAACAAAAAAAACATCCGTAAGGTGTTACCTTCAAGATCCATCGTAACCCGGTCATCATAATCAATAGCTTCAAATCCGCCATCTTTATATTTGAGAACCCAAAACATGACAGCATCAGGAAAACTACTTGGTTCAATACAATTCAATTTGACAGGATGCCCAAGTGATACTTGAATCGTTTGGGATTTCTCTTTAGCAAAATCATCCAAAAAAGCCTGTCTCAAATCGTACATCAAGGACATTGCTACCCCGTGGGCATTGCTGGCAAAACACTGATACAACCCAACATCCTTCTTCTCGGGTTTATTGCAGACAAGATTCCCAGAATTAGGTATCATTACCCATCGATCATCAAAACCACTGGAGTCAAACTTGTCACCATCTTTAACCCAACGATACCTGCAAGAGAAAAATAAAAATAAATAATAAATAGAAGATTTATGGGTTTTATCCTATTAACTCTTTGAAACCTGTCCTACAGATGAGTACACCCTCCAGAGCCTGTCTATCTCATAAAACTACACACATTTCAAGTTAAAACCTAGCTGGTTGGTTGTTTTATGGCATATCAAAATCTCAGTGGGTCATTTAATGCCAACAAAATTTTTGAAATAGATTCATAGCGATAGTGAACCATTTTTCAATTACTCATATTTTTTAGTACAATCCAACTTCTTAAGAATGTATAGATTTTTGTATTACTGGTATTTTTTTTTATAAGTATTGCTAATAATAATTTTTCCTTCAAAAATTATTGCTAGTAATAATTTTTTTATTACAAAGTATTTCTGGTATTAAAACCTATCTTTACACAAGTTTGGGTGTTAACTATTTGCCCAGAGCTGGGACCCCCAACAGGTGCTACCACCCCAGGTCAGGGTGGACCTGGGAACACCAGCAATTAAGAGGTGGTTCTACACTCCTCAAAACCTTCTGATCAGAGGCTTTGCTGTTGGACGTAGTTTATTGTCTTACCCAGGATGCAGATGTAGTTTATCGTCATACCCAGGACGGTCAAGAAGACAGCTTTTCAAGTATTAACTTCAGATCCCCGGACACTCCTCATTCATACAGTTTGTGGGTTAACTATTTGTCCATAACTGGGACCCAAACAGGTGCTACCACCACGGGTCAGGGTGGACCTGGGAATAGCAGCATTTAAGAGATGATTCCATGCTCCTCAAAACCTCCTGATCAGATTGATGTAGTTTATTGTCTTACCCAGGACACCCCATTGAGGTGGGAGGGGGGGTTACCCTTCTGTAAAAGTGCAGTCAGTGTATTTTACAGCCCCATCCAACAGGGCATGTTAAAACCTAGTGATTTCTATCATCGAGGCATTGAATAGTTAGTGGATCTTTGGCAAGAGGTTGTAAACAATGTAGGAAAATATATTGTTGAATAATTCATCAGAACTATTATTAAATAATAAGTATTAAAATAAATCATGAAAAACAAAACAATTAATGCTACATCTTAAAACATGGCAGCTTAGCACTTTTTTCTTTATTTCTAATGAAATTTTCTTCTTAATACATTGCTTAGCTTTTGGAAGCTATCTTTCACTTTCAAATGCACGTTTAAGATTGCTGTGTCATATTTACTATCCTCTGTCCAACCTTTGAATTCTGACCTCCTGATGAATATAGATCTCTCGCCCTGGACCCCTGCCATCCATCTGAAAGACGCACACTAGAAAAAAAAATGTACATTTTGCTCATTGTGCACTTCATCTGACCTCAGGCAGCCTAGTATTAGATAAAAGACACTGTGATTGGTTGGAATCCCTGATGACCTAATGTTAGATAAAATGTTTCATGATTGGCTGAAACACCCAGGTCAAATTGTGGGTGGAGCTCATTTTAAGATCATTGTGTTTGTAAACAAAATGCATGTTTCTGGCCAGTATACCAGTCACCCATGTTCAAAGGGTTAAGAAAAATTAACAAAAATAATTAAAACAATTACCACCCAACAATAAAAGAAAAACACACAAAAAAATTAGATGGCTATTTTCTGCCTATTCCCCTGTTATACAATTTTTGTCTCTTAAAACGCATCCAATATAAGGCTTGAGAGCCACTCAAGGTAGAAGGTTACAGTATTTCAACATTGGCTCTTTCACTTACTATATATACTCATGTATCATGAGATTTTTGAAGACCTAAATTTAAGGGGGGGTCACATCAAGCATGAGATATAAAATTAGCCTTTGTACTGCTGACCCTGGTTATACCATTGAACAAACTCTATAACCATTTACTGTAGTCAAATTAGCTTCAAAATTAGATCTTCAAAAGTTGCATGATATGCGAGCATATACGGTAATCATCATCAGTTTTGTATTGTTATTTAGTATTAAACTGATCCCCCATTTGTTGGTCATAGTAGACTCATAGATGAAATTCCAAAACGTCCTTATACATAATCAAATGAAAGGATCTTAGAAATGAGGGATCAGTTTTCTATTGTTCTTTAGTATTAAACTAATCCCCCATTTCTTGGCCACTGTATATGCTATCCATTTCTATAATCTAGACAGGATATAAGTAATTTTCAAAAATATTCTTATAGGTTGGTTTGTTATACTCGTGTATCATGCAACTTTTCAAGGCCTAATTTAGAAGATGATTGTAAGGGGATTGCATCAAGCATGAGATATAAAATTAGCATATGTACTGCTGACCCTGGCTACATATACATATCAATTTACTGTAGTCAAATTAGCTTCAAAATTAGGTCATCAAATGTCACATGATATGCATGTGTATACAGTAACTAAAAGAAATCATTATAACTAATCAAAGCAAGGGATGGTAAAAAGTAGGGGATCAGTTTTGTATTGCTCTTTAGTATTAAACACATCTCCCATTTCTTGGTCATATAAGATTCATAGATGATTCCAAAACATGCTTATAGGTAATCAAATGAAAAGACGATAGAAAGTGAGGGATCAATTTTGTATTGTCCTTTAGTATTAAACTCATCCCCCATTTATTGGTTACTGTATATGCTATCCATTTCTATAATCTAGACAGGATTTAAGGAACTGCCAAAAAATATTCTTATAGGTTATTTAGGCACGGTGGAGTAATGAATAGTGGCTCAAATTGAGGAATCGGAGAGCCGAGTTCGAATTCAACTCAAATCCGTTACATTCACTTATATGTTAATACCCTTGTGAAAGATATGAATCCTCTTTTTCTCCCCTCATCTATGGGTAAATACAGGACAGACTGGGTTCTATAGCCTTGGATGGCAACTGATCTACCGCAGAAAGAAATGGCAACCTACTGCGGGAAAAAACCTGCCTCGTCAGTCATGTATCAAAAGCTACATGATTGCCTAAGCATGTATCACACATGGCACATAATTGACTGTTCTACATATCGTATATATTCACATATCATGCGACCTTTGACGACCTTATTTTGAAGCTAATTTGATTACAGTAAATGGATATATAGTTTGGTCAATGGCATAGCCAGAGCCAGCAGTACATATGATAATTTTATATCTCATGTATGATGCAACCCCCTTAAAATTAACTTCAAAATTAGGTCTTCAAAGGTCAAATAAAACACGAATATGTATGGTATATTCTAAGTACAGTGTCAATTCAGGAAATGGGTGATTATAGCCCTCCCTAATTTCCTATCCTTGCAGCTCATGTTAGTCTTTTTACTATGCCTCCTACTCCTCATTCTTCCATTCATTCATATAAGCTTGTCAGATAAATGATCCACTGTCTCGCACCCAGTCCCACTTGCCATCAATATGCCCTGTGAGTGGGAAATTCTCCAAGCCTTCCTTCCTCATTATGTGTCCCAAAATTTTTAACTATTTTTTTATTCTAAGTATAAGTGCCCTTTTTGTTTACATTTTCATCAAAACTTCCTCATTACTCACATGCTCAGTCCATGGTATTCTCAGCATCCCTCTGTAGAGTCACATTTCTATTGTCTCAAGTCTTGTCATCTGTGAGGTGATTGTTCAGCATTCACTGACTTAATGGAGGCTACATAACAGTTCAACACTCCTCTTTGTTTCTAATAACATTTTCTATTCCAATGTGATTTCATATTTGGACATCATATGTTCCATTCAGAAATCGAAAAAGTAGCTTAAGTTTTATAAGAGTGAAGGAGTTAACTCCCTTCACTATTTTTCTTGGGGTGTAGAGATATAAAAAGCAATTTATCTCCTTTTGGTCGAGATGAAGTCATGTGGGTCATGTGACAGCTGCTTAGTGACATCATTTCATAGAGTGACAAAAGTGGCCAGTCAATCAGTTTCCAGGAATCAAACCAAGCAGTTGCTTTTTTTTTTTTAAGCCCAGTCCCGTTGAAAATTGGCATCAGCAGATTGTAATCTGCCTTCCCCAGCAGCTTACAAGCCTATGCCACCATTTTCCTACAGAAATACATATATTTTTTAAGCATTACGCCCCGAGCAAGACGTGAAGCCACTAGGATGCAGGGGGTTGCAGAAGATTTGGAGCAAGAGCAGATAGGAGTGATAGAAGAAAGGATGAGGAGAGGGATAGTGGATAGATCAAGGTAACTGGAGGTGTCGATTGACATTACATTTGAATAGTTGGAGATTATAGCTCTCAGGGAAACAGTAATTGAGAAGGGTGTTCCACAGGTGAGAGGTGCAAGGTATGAAGCTATTGGGGTAGAAGAGACGGCTACATTTAAATCTTTACCAGATATAGAAATTATCTCTGGTTTGAAGTCTCTCATGTTGGGAAAAGTGCATGACTTGGCATACCCCCGCCCCCCGACATTTCAGAGGAAGATGTCTTTGCTAGTGACATAGCAGATAAATCTGGTCAGCTTGAATCTGGAATTCTAAATAGCACTTCTCATGAAACACAGAAGAATCTCTACCAGCTCCAATTCCAAAAACACTACCTTTTCATTCTTTTTTCACACTGCTTGTTGTGTAGATATGTGTTATAATTTCTCTGTGTGGAACACATGTAAATATGATAACATTATTTAACCCATATTAGGGGTAACCTGTGAATGATTTGGTATTTACAGATCCAATACTTTTTAAATTGTAATTGTACCAGGTTAACAAAAACCAATTTGCATAAATGTTTAGTGAAGAATTAACAATGAATACTAAAGTTCACTTAATACAAGGCTCGTGAGCCACTCAAGGTAGGGGGTACAGTTAGAATGGCAATAATTAATGATCAATTTATCTTCTATGGCTTATTAACTATTTGCTGGTTATTTAAAGCCAGAAAATATTTTTAGATTGTAAGAATTTTATTTTTTAACAATAATAATTTAGCAATACAAGTCTTACTAATTAGCCCATAGCGGGGGGTAAAAGAGTTGGATTCATACCTCATCAGAATTTGATAAAAAATGTGGATATAAAGTGGGGGGTCAATTCAACATTACATTCCATATATAAACTGATCACCCATTTTGTGGTTATGATAGTTTTTATATATTTATATTCCAGAAACTAAAAGACATGCCAGTGTAGCTAATCAGTATTTCATTGATTGATTCACTTGCTATGGCATATCAACAAATAAGAAATTATAATGCAGATATAAAGTGGGGCATCAATTCTACATTACAATCAATATATAAGCTGATCCCTCACTTTGTGGCCACGAGTCTTCTATACATTTATATTCCAGAGAATGTAAATTAATCTAAAAGACATGCCTGTGTAGCTAATCAGTATTTCATTGATTGATTCACTTGCTATGGCTTATCAATATATATATTTTTATATATCAAGAACAGTATTGGGAAATTGTATGACAAAGGGGAAAAAGTTTACTTGAGACACGTTTCATCCCTCAGGACTTCATCAGACTAAATGATGCAAGATATAAAATTAAGAGGTAGAAGTATGTGAATACTATGAAGATGAGGAGGATAGACAGCAATTGATCCCTGTCTTGAAGAGATTGAGATTGTTGTGTTCATGGAAGCACCCACACGGGAGTCTGTTCCAGAAAGTGGAAGTTCTTGTGGGGGGGAGCTGAATGGAACTTTCTGCTTCTATTTGTGATACAGAGGAAGTAGCATAGCTTTTCCAAGCTGTGAAGGTCTGTGCTCATCTGAACATTTGCCATGGAATTAGTGATAGAAATGCTTCTAATGTATTAATTGAAAAAGAGGTCGCAGAGCAGAGAAGTCGTCTTTCCCCACAAGACTGCGTAAACAATTTTGAACATTCTCAAGGTTGGAAATTGTAGATTGAGCTACTTTAGCCTTGATGAAACAGCATTTTGGGTTTAACCTGACACTTGTAAATGCAAAGCGTGTCAGAAGGAGTTCATTATTTCCTGGAACATAAGATAAGAGCCCACCAAGCTAGCCCTTTGGAAGACGAAAGAGGCAGATTGTTTTAGCAGAAAGAGGGTTGAACTGAGGAGAGAGCCTTGGAGGACAACAGCATTGTGCTCATGAGCTTCAGAAGACAAGCTGTTCCCAACGACCTTCATGGGCATTGCAAAATGGTGAACAAGTCTTTTTCCCATAAGGCTGTGTAAATGATTTTTAACTGTCAGAGCTGGAAAGTGAGGATTCAATAGCTCAAGTCCAGATATGACAGCAATACACCATTTTGGGTTTAATCCGATAAATTGATAGATTCATTTTTTATTGGTTATCAACCCATTGCAAGTTAGTTAAAGCCAGAATATATTTTTAGATTGCAAGAATTTTTTTTTTTTGAGATAATAATGGTTAAAATGAGGATGCACGGTGGAGTAATGGATAGAGGCTTGGATTAAGGAAACGGAGAGCAGAGTTCAAATTCCAGTCAAATCCATTGCATTCACTTATGTGATGATACCCTTGGGAAAGGTATGAATCCTCTTCTCCCTGCAGCTATGAGTAAATAGCAGGACAGACCAGGTTCTATAGCCTTGGATGGCCACTGGTCTACCACAGAAAGAAATGGCAACCTATTGTGAAGAAAAAAAATCTACCTCATCAATCATTTATCGAAAGATACATGATCACCTAAGTGTGTATCACGCATGGCACATAACTGACTGACTGATGTGCTAATACCCCTGGGAAAGTTATGAACCCTATTCTTGTCTACCCAGCTATGAGTAAATAGCAGGACTGAGTGGGTTCTATAGCTTTGGATGGAACTGATCTACTGCAGAAAAAAATGGCGACCTACTGTGGGAAAAAATCTGTCTAGTCAGTCATGGATTGAAAGATACATGATCACCTAAGCATATATCACACATAGCACATGACTTAATGACAAAATGGTTTAGTGATACAAGTCTTTCTAATTAACCCATAGCTGGGGTAGAAGAATTGGATTCCGGAAAGGGATATATTTGTTCGAAGTAGCAAAGTGGTTGTTGACTACTGTAACCAAGTAGGACAATCTAGCAGGTAACCGTAATGGACTGGTCCTCATAGTAGGGGTAGGCAATAGGCAAAGACAATAGGCATCATCCTGTACCTCCACACCAGTCTGTATTTATGGCTGACACCAGCCAATCATATTACTGTGAGGAGGAACCAGGTGTATGCATATTCATTACATCAATAAGTTTTCCAAGAGAAATAGATTTATTAAATTGGTTTTCAACATATTAAGTGTCAAATGCAGAAAAAGATATTTTGAAATATGAACTCAAATTAATACAACCAGTAATATTAATGAAAATGGACATTTTTACAGGTTTTGAATTAATGACACTTATATAATATCTGAAGTTAAGGACAAAAATGATAAAAACGTAATTGCTAATTGAGTTAATAGTGAAAAAAGTAAAATAAATATTATTTAGATTTGAAGAGTCAAATGAATTACAAATTGTAGACATCAGAATGACACAGGTACAGAAATTTACATAACTGAGAAGTGTCTTAACAGATGGAGGGAAATGTGACAGTGAAATCTGAAACTGCATTGGAATATCGAAAAGGGATTTCCAAAAAGCTAAGCAAATTATAAATAAACAAGAAATTTTCTTAATAAAAAAAAAACAAAAAAAAACAAAGTTTATTGATTGTGTCATTCCTTTTCTAGAGATTATTAACCTTTTGCAGGTTATTTAAAGCCAGACAAGATTTTTAGATTGTTGTTATTGTTATTTTAGTTTAATTAATCCATAACTAGAGGGAGAAAAGGCAGATTCATATCTTTCCTAAGGTTATTTGCTTATAAGTGAATATAATGCATCCAACTGGAATTGGAACTCAGTTCCCCAGTTACCAATTTCAAGCCATTATTCATTACGCCACCCACATCCAAGCTTACAGTACCTGATTCTTGTAATGATAAAGAATCACAAAAAGAATTGGAGTGTTAGAAAGTCAATCATTTTTTTTTGTTTGCATGTTAGAATGAGTCAACCATTTTTTTATATATATATATATATTTATATAATATATATATATATAAATATATATTAAAAGGCTCAAACACTAATATTCCATGGTTATAAGTGATGATGAATTGGATCGTGATTACAATTCCAATATAATAAATTATAACCATGGAATATTAGTGTTTGAGCCTTTTATATTATATTCTTACTCTGTCCTGGACATTGAGTTCTACCTGGTTTCTATCTTCTTGGGAATTTTATATATATATATATATATATATATGACTCTCCCGTCGAATTCAACGTATGAGGGTCAAGCAGATCAGTTCCCAGGAAACCGACAACCCGATAACAGTGCATGAGATTTGATTATAGTGGTGAAGGTTTCGTGCAGGACCAACCACACTTTTTGAAGGACCGAATACAGAGACCTGGTGCACTGAGCACAACAAGGTCTCCAAATGACCCTCCGCAGGTTTTGAATTCAGAGTTGTCCTTCTTCTAGACCAGTTGCCATCCAAAGCTATAGAACTCAGTCTATCCTGCTATTTTACCCATAGCTGGAGGGAGAAGAAGAGGATTCACACCTTTCCCAAGGGTATTAGCATGTAAGTGAATGTAGTGGATTCGACTGGAATTTGAACTCAACTCTGCAATTCCTCAATCCAAGCCACTATCCATTACGCCGTGCCTCCTATATATTCATATATGTATATATATATATACATATATTTTTATACACACACAGGAAAACCAGTAGTTGATATATAATCCAAATGAATCCGATTAATATAATATAAAATATTAAAACTGATTCACAGAGAGAGCTCAATGTTTTATTCAAACAGAGCATATAAATTATAAACAATAGGAATTAGGATAACTGAATAATATTGATGATCACCATTTCACCTTGTAAAATTAAAATTAAATTACAAGGATTTTCAAATCCATCAGGTGAACAAGATCAAGAAAAACAGTTTTTTGATCTTTTGTGTTGACCCAATGGATTTGAAAATCCTTGTAATTTAATTTTAAAAGGTGAAATGATGATCATCAATATTATTCAGTTATCCTAATTCCTATTGTTTATTTTTTATTATATATAATCTCAGAATTAACCTGTAGATAAAAGACTATATATATAAGACAATACGTTTAAAGGAAAAAGACAATAAGAAAACTTTAGTTTTAGGCATTGTATTTTGTCTAATATGGAGTTTTTTCTAAGCAAAAAAAAAAAATAAAAAACAAAAAAAAAAAAAAATAAAAAAAAAAAATAAAAAACAAAATAAAAAAACAAAAAAAAAAAAAAATAAAAAACAAAAAATAAAAAAACAAAAATAAAAAAACAAAAACAAAAAAACAAAAATAAAAAAACAAAAATAAAAAAACAAAAATAAAAAAACAAAAATAAAAAAACAAAAATAAAAAAACAAAAATTAAAAAACAAAAATAAAAAAAAAAAAAAAAAAAAAAACAAAAAATAAAAAAAAAAATAAAAAAAAAAAAATAAAAAAACCAAAATAAAAAAACATTGGCTGAAACTGCAGTTTTCCTCTTGTCTTTTTTCCTTTATACATATATATGATTTTTACTCACGTTGGTTGAGGGTCACCTGTTGCGACACATAGCAAACTCACAGTCTCCCCATCCTTGAACGGAACTCTTGTCTTTGGATAAGACAACATAATTGGTGGCTGGGTCACTTGAATAGAAATAAAGAAAAAAATTGTCAGTTATCTTTGAAATCAAAGTGATTTTATTTGTCTTGCCCCCAACCCCAAAATCTCCAGCATTCTTCATTGTTAGAAAGTAGCTACTTTTCTTCGCCTGTCCCACAATTTACTTATAAAAAAGGAACATTTTCATTATGTTGATGCAATAAACTGTACATGGAAATGCAGTTCATGATTGAATCATTTTTTATAGCCTATCAGCCCATTACAAGGTATTTAAAGCCAGAAAATGTTTTTAGATAGTAAAAATGATTTTGAGATAATGGTTTAGTGATACAAGTCTTACTAATTAACCCATAGCTGGAGAGAGAAGAGGTGGATTCATACCTAATCAGAATATGATAAACAAATTATAATGTGGACATAAAGTAAGGGATCGATTCTACTTTACAATCAATATATAAACTGATCCCTCACTCTATGGTCACAGTAGTTTCGATACATTTATAGTCCAGAGAATGTCAATAAATCAAAAAGACATGCCTGTGTAGCTAATCCGTATTTGATTCATTCATTCATTTGCTATGGGTTATCAACCTTTTGCAAGTTATTTAAAAATGGGAGAAATTTACATAGTGGAAAAAAAAATATCATGACAATAAATGACGTTTCTATCGATTAATCGACACTTCTTTTTTTTTTTTACGGTTTATCAACACTTTACAGGTTATTTAAAGCCAGAAAATATTTTTAGACTTTAAGGATTTTTTTGTCCCCACCCCCACCAGATAATGTTTTAAGGATACAAGTCTTATTAATTAATGCATACATTGGGGGAGAAAAGGTGGGTTCATGCCTTATCAGAATTTGATAAAGAAACAAGAAATTATAATGTATATATAAAGTGAGGGAATAATTCTATATTACAGTGAATATATAAACCGATCCCTCACTTTGTAGTTTCTATACATTTATATTCCAGAATCTAAAAAACAACCCGTGTAGCTAATCAGTATTTCATTGATTGCTTTGTTTTTCCATGGCTTATCAACCAATTGCAGGTTATTTAAAGCCAGAAAGTATTTTTAAATTATAAGAAAATTTTTTTTGAGATAATGGTTTAGTGATACAAGTCTTACTAATTAACCCATAGCTGGGGGAATGTGGTGGATTCATACCTTTACCAAGGGTATGTGCACACAAGTGAATATAATGAATGCAACAAAATAAAAATTTCAAGCCATTATCCACTACATCCAATCTTACAGTGTCTGCTATTTGCATGCAGTCACCCATCTGGATACTGTTCAAGCTTGACGATGCTTAACTTTGGTGATTACATGGGAACTGATGTTTCAACCTGATGTGATTGTAAGCCTTTAAAAAAAATGAAGAAATGAGTACTGAACTGTTATGTAATATTAGTCTTTCTATAAGGCAACAAATGCTGGACAATTTCTTCACAGGTGAAGAAGTAAAGAAATATCGCTCTACAGAAGGATACTGAGAATACCATGGACTGATTTAACCCTTGTAGCTGTTTAGGATTGAGTTTCCAGTTCTTTCTAACGTCTTTTTAATTCTCTTTCACTTCCAGTATCCCTTTGCATGTTAGTGGCTTTATTGCCACTAAAGAAAAAAAAAGAATGGTGGATTCAAGGCCCCATACTTCAAAGGAAAATAACAGAAAAAAAAACTACAAGCAATCACATACTTGACAACAATTTTGACTTGTAAAATTCCTTTTCACCCTCCCCACCTAACAAAAAGACATGACTAAAAAAAAAAAAAAGATACTTACCACAACCAACACAGCCAATCATGAAGAGGATAATAAAATTCTGTAACATATTCATAATTTTTATCTGTAAAAAAAAAAAACAGAGTAATGAGATTGTACGTTTTTGATAGCTACCAATATCTGATTTTATATGAAAAGAGGGAAAAAGTAAAAAGAGAAGGGAAAAAAACAAAAGAAAAAGGGGGAAAAGAAGAAAAAGAAGTGAGGAAAAGAAAAAGAAAAAAAAGGGGAAAAGTAAAGAGAGGAAACAATAAGAAGGTTTTTAAAATTTTTAACTGCTTTTGAAGTGTTTGCTATAATATTAGGCTGCATTATAAATAATTTCCATTTTTTTTTATCAACTTCATACTTCAAAAAATAAAGTGTAAGTCATTTATTCACCATTATTTGAAATGATTTGTGCTCATTTATAAAAAAGGCAGTTCTTCAATTCTTAGAGTATTTTTTGAACAAGAAGACCAGACAACATAAGTAATACCTGAAATATGTATACATTTGGTTGTTTTTTTTAATTACAAGGAATCATTTCGTAAAAATATAGAAACAAAATTAAAAAATAATTCTGTTTTGCCAGAAAAAAAAAAACAATTCCTGTTTTTTTTTTTTAAGCGTTTCACCCCAAGCAAGGCGGGAAGCCACTAGGACGCAAGGAGTTACAGAAGAATTGGAGCAAGATCAGAAAGGAGTGATAGAAGAAAGGATGAGGAGAAGGATAGTGGATAGATCAAGGCAACTGGAGATGTTGATTGACATTATATTTGAATAACTGGAGATTATAGCTCTCAGGGAAACTGGAATAGGGAAGGGAGTTCTACAGGCGAGAGGTGCGAGATATGAAGCTATTGGAGTAGAAGAGACGGTTAGGTTATTTGGTTAAAATAATGGCAATGTTTAACTTTTAGTTTTGTGTCTGCAAAAAATAAAAAAGTGTCAAGAGGACGTTTTTTCTGTTGACAATGACAATGTTTATGTACAAGATTACAAAATATATGTGAACCAAGTACAATATGATTGTTATTATTTGACATTTTATAAAGATTTATTATTCAAATATTATATTAGAAATACTTTTATTCAATAATTTAAAACCTTACAAAATTTTCAACGAATTGTATTTTTTGGAATCGTTAGCAAAGCATCAGCAAATTGTTAATCGATTCGAACTTTATAAAATGGTAAATAATAAACATTTTCCATTATAGTTGGGTTCGCATTTTTATGATTTAGTAAATTTTTATAAATTCATGAATGAAAAAAAATTAATATTTATTTCTTTATAAATTTGGTGAATGATAAAACTTCAATTAGTTGATTTACATTTTTGGAATGTTCTAAATATAAAATTATTATTGTAAATAAACAATGGTGTTTAATATTTTTGTTGTAAATTCTCAAAGAACAATGTATAAATTTACTACTTTCATAGGTTTGGGTTTTATTAAAATTCTAAATCATGGCTTTTTAAAACAAAGAAAGTGAAAGTCGTTAAAAATAATAATAGCGATATCAAGGGAAAAGACACGCTTTTGCTACCTCTTTTTTATTGCGGTTATGAAAGTTAAAGATTGTCTAAATAGACGATAAGAAAGCTGAATTAAAAAGACTGCTGTAAAGAAATTGTTTCTCTTTGAAGATAAAAGAAAAAACAGATAAATTGCCAATTATTACTTGCGTAATAAGTCACTAGCGTAAAACGTTCTGTAGAATTTGGGCAATTTGGTTTAATCTTAACGACAAAGCAAGCCAAGTTCTTTAAAAAAGAATTATTTTAAAAACGTTTTGAAGCAAAAAAGTTAAAAAAGAAAGCTTTTTTTTTTTAACATAAGTTTTTTTTTTAGGGGTGCAATTTTGAATCTAAACATAAATATTTCAATAAATTCAAACTATACAATTTGAAAAATTAAATTTTAATTTTAAATATGCACTTAAAAAGAACATTATTGGTGGAGTTGTATAATAGGCACTGTGTAAGGATTTTTTCCCATATCACTAAGCACTCAGGAATATATCAACAAACAGAAACTGATCGCATTTGTCAAACATAAGTTTATATATATATATATATATATATATATAATTTAAACAGCCATAGCACATTTCTCTCATCCTTTAACAATAACATCAATACACAGAAAGTTATTCGTGAGTATGAACGGAATTTGTTAAAAATTAGCAGACACAATGTCTGTATTCAATCAGACATGCCCAAAAGAGAATTTGCTGCCTAAATACACAAATATTATATGCAGCAAACTTTCTTTCAAACATATTTCAATTTCATTAAATAGGGTTGACAAGGAGGATTTTATTTTTAGTTAATTTTGTTATTAAATTTTTCCAACATCCTTTTGTTTTTCAGTTTTGTAGAGAAGTTAGTACAAAAATTCTAAACAATCTTTTAGTCCCAAACTCTTTCGACCACTTCTCTTTTAGCCATCTTCAAGGGGTTTGTTTCTGGTGCTTTTTTCCTCATGTTTTTGAGTTTGACCATTACGTTGCAATTTATTTTTATGTTGTTTTGAATAGAAGCGTTCTTTTAAAATAATGGGGGTCTCCATATCGTTATATCAATTAATTTAATTGTAAAATGTATAATCGGGAATATAATTGATAGCAATATATCAAACAATAAAAAAAAAAAAAAAATCCAAATTAAATTTTTCTTATTAAAAAAAAAAAAAAAAAAAAATCACGTGGTATGAACAAATTTTGTTTTGGCTTTCGTAGAGAGATGCATTTATTTTTAAAATTTAAAATAAACATAGCAAACGGAACCACTAACTTTTATAAAATTTTAAATAATTCAAATAAAAAAAAAACGTAAAAAATCAAATTTGTTACCTAGAGAGTGCTTTAAAGCCTTAAAAACAAAAAAATAAACGAGAGAAAACTTTATTTCTGGTCGTAATGTCTACTTTTGTTTTATTATTGTACATGCTATTACATAAAAAAAATATTCAACTCCAATAAGTTATTTTTAATTAAAAACTGAGGAGATATTTTTTAATTTAATAACAGTAGTAAATAAACCGAGAATACAAAAATTAAAACCAGGAAGTTGGAGAGACAAGGAATTTAAACTTTTTTTTTAATAAAACTTTTAAAAAATTAAGAGCTTTTACCAATTTTTAAAAAATCCTCACTAACAACATTTCGTTTCCTTAAAGTTAAAATCAAAGAACGAAAAACCCGACAAAACATGGCCAGGTCAATTTATTTAGGCTTATGAACAAATGAGGTAAAAAAAAAAGTTTAAATTTAATTTGTCAGGTAATAAAATATACAGTTCATAAACACAAGACTTTAATTAATTTTATAGAAAAGGAATCCTTAAAAATAATGCTGGCGATTAAAGACAAAAAAATATATAACTTTTCTTCCTGTTTGTATTGAAATGCGAGACAAAAATATTTCATGGCGTTGTCTCTCTCTCTTCTTACCTGGTTGACCTAAATGGGAATTTCAGGTGGGATTTTTTTATCAGTTATAAAAATAAAACGTATGTCACTTGCAACATTGGAATTAAACTCATATCTAAGTTCGAAAAATCTTCCTTTTTCTTACATTCATGAAATAAAATTAATTAAAACTTAAAAAATATAAGGAAATGGAAAGGAAAAAAGAGGCCTACCTGTCTAACATGTCCAAGCGATAATTGTACACCTGACTTAGCGAGAAGGGAAGTCACTTCTCGCACCTGACACACCTTTTTGCTTACCTGGCCGGGGAATTGGGATTGTGAGAAAGGATTATTTTCTTTGTGGAAAACGTAGGGATTTTTATTTCTAATATACAGCTTTTAAAAACCTATATATTTTTTTACGGGAAGTTAAAAAAAAAAAGAAGAAAAATAATCATTATTTAATAATGTTATATGATAAAGGAGGCAACCCCGAAAAGCCGTTTTAGTCACGCGGCAAACTTTATTTAACCTTAAATGAAATTCAAGCTTAAAATTTATTACCTGTTAAGAAAAAAAAGAAAACGTAAAAGAAAAGAAGCCTATAAAATTTTAAAAGATGGAAATTCTAACGTACGTGTCTTTTTTTTTTTTTATCTATATTAATTACTCTTATTTTGTAAAAATAAATATTTTCTCTAAAACCAAAAAAAAGTCCTAGCTTGACCACCCATTAAAAAAAAAAAAAAACTTACGATATTTCTATTTCTTACCCTGGAGAGTGTTTCAGATTCGAGTAAAAAGTAAAATCTTATTTGAAACACTTAAAGTCAAATCTTAGTTTTACTAATGCGAAGAAGGCACTTTTACAGTTGTTTTACGAAAACATAGAATTGCAAGTGAGGAGTTAAAGCAATTTTAAACGACTATTTGTTTTAATAATAAATCTTACTTAAAATATGCCTGCAATAAGAAGACGTAATAATATCAAAAGGACGGTTTTTCCCTTGACACCGCTATTATTTTAACTACTTTCACTCCTCGGCAATATTTATTGCTTTAAAAAGAAATGATTAGAATTGTAAATAAAACGTAACGGTAAACATGACGAAAGTAAATTTATACATTTTTTGTTCTTGATAATTTACAATAAACACTAATAATTATTTATTAGATTGTTTATTCACATTTTACAAGAATAATTTCATATTTACAATATTCTAAAAAAAAAAAACTAATACGAATAAACGTATTTTTTCTTTAAATTAAAAGTTTAAAACTAATGAAATGTCTTCCATTTACCAATTTATAAAGAGATAAATGTGAAAACAATTTTTATTCCTAAATTTATAAACATTTACTAAAATATGTGAACCAACTATAGCAAAATCTTTATTTACCATTTTATAAAGTTCGAATCGATTGGTAATTAAATTATGTTTTGCCAACCATTTCAATAAATAAATAGTGTTTATTATTTTTGTTGAAAATTCTCAAGAACAAAAAAATAAAATGAATACACTTTCATATGTTTTCCAATTCTAATCATTGTTTTTTAGAATAATAAACATTGCCAATGGCAAAGATAAAGATAGTTTAAAAAAAGAAAAAAAAAAAAAGCGGTGATATAAAACCCATCTTTTTGACATTACGTCTTATTGCGGGCACGTTTTATCATATTTGCTGAATCAAAAAATTCAAATAACAAAGGAGTTTACCTTATTTACTGCTGAACTAATGTTTTGCCATCACAGAAACTAACCGGCGACCTGAGAAAAAAAAATTCGCGAGCCTATGTGAAATTGTTTTGGGACCAATGAAAAATTTGCCTTCACAGATTAACCGGTCAGCCAAAAAGATGAATAAAAAAAAAGTACCGATCCTACGCGAAATTCTTCTTGATGTAAAATGAGGAAAAAATTAAATTAATAAGTTTGTAAATTCGTAAATAAATTCCTTATGTTGTTTTGTTAAAATTATCCATGTGTTTCCTCGTCATTATCATCTTCGTGATGTGTGTAAAAATCAACTGTTCAATTTAACTACTAAGCCCAACGCCTCTATAACCCAAACATCATTCCATAAAAGAAAAGATCTTGCAGCAATACATTTTAAAAATTATTCCACTTAAGCAAGGCAATAAAGCCTCTAAGACGCAGAGGGTTACTGAAATGTGAAACAATATAAGAAAAACATTATAAAGGAGAGAGAACAATAAAAGAACAAAATTTAAGAAGATAGAAGATAACGATTGACATAGCATTTAAATTTTGTTTCTCTCCACGCAAGGCAATAAAGCCACTAAGACGCAAGGGAGTTACTGGGTGTGAAAAATTATGAGAAAGAGAAAAAATTATTAAGGAGAAAGAACAATAAAAAAAAATAGAATTTAAGACAGAAGATAACGATTGACATTGCATTTAAATTTATTAACGTCAAACTTGAATGAAAAGCAAGAAGCCAGAAGAAAGTTCCACAAAGAATTTTCTCTCAATAATCAAAGAAAGCCAAACCTTTAAAGCAATCTCTCTTCGTCTACTTTTGAAAGTATTCAAGCGTATACCCCTTCGGTGAGCAACGAACTCTCTTACCTGTCTTAAACATTTTTGAATATTATTTTGTGTCAGATCATTTAATCTGTTGTATGAACATTTCCTCTTCATGACAATTCATTAAAACTACAGATTTTAAAATCTTTTATTTTCCTGAAGAGCGTGCTACTGACGTAGTGGAAAACATGATATTAGGATTAATTGACCAACTACTGACATTAATTCAAGCGTGTAAATTCGTAAATAAATTCCTTATCTTGTTTTGTCATTATTACTCTTCTTTAGGGTACTACTTTAATTTAATAATATTTTATTTGTGATCTAACTAATTCCATTGGTTAAAAAAGATTCCAGTACATTTCCTACGTAACAGCACTGCGATCGACCAAATCTGTGCAAAAAGTGGATCACGGAGCCTTAATATTTCTCTTACTTCTCATTGGCCAATTAATCCTAATATCATGTTTTCCACTACGTCCGCACGGTTAAAATTAATTTACCACCAAAACTCTGTGTGTGTTTCGAGCCTACCACGTGACTTGAAAGTAAATAAATACGAGCGACATTTTCAACTCTTCCGCTTTTGTACATATGGGGTCTATGGTGGGTGTGGTGAGAAAGAAATATTGTCAGTATGATTGGGTCAACGTTTGTGGCTAGCTAAGTTTAGAAGTTAAGACAGAAGACCAACCTCTACCCCATTCCTCATTTCGGCCTTGTGCCACATTTTCTGTTATAGCACAGAAATAAATATCGCTTTTGCCTTCTCTCACACATACAAGATGTAGCAGTGAAGAAGTCGCGTTTGTCCCTTTAAGGAAAAACGCTATGAAAACGCCATGTCACACACACGCACGCACACACGTACGTACGTACGAACATTGAACATCTCTGAACTAATCTCATTCATTCCTTAAACAGAAACTTTCAACTTCAACTTTTGCCTCTTGTCAATATTCACCAGTGAGAAATATCAAATTCTCATTCCAGAAATTTCTCACTCATATTTAAATCTCTTCAGTGAACAATTTAAGCAGCAAGTTAATTCAACTTCTAAATATTCAAGTGAACATTACATTTTCCATCAATCAACAAATTTCTTTCAACTCATCTTACACCGAATTTCAGCCTACAACACCTTCTTAATGAAGAACATTCTTTCCATTGGAACTTGCCCGTCCAGGGTGGGACGATAAACTACGTCCAACAGCAAGGCCTCTGATCAGGAGGTTTTGAGGAGCGTAGAACCACCTCTTAATTGCTGGTGTTTCCATGTCCACCCCGACCCGGCGTGGTAGCACCTGTTAGGGTTCCAGCTATGGGTAAATAGTTAACCCTCAAACTGGGGCTAAAACACTATGAAAGTGTAAAAATAGGTTTTAATATCAGAAATACTTTGTAAAAAAAATTTTACCAGCAATACGTTTTTGAAAAAAAGATATATATTACCAACAATACATTTAAAAAAAAAAACACATACCAACAATACATTTTTCGAAAAAAAAATACCAGTTCTTAAAAAACAAAAAATATTACCAGCAATACGTTTAAAAAAATACCAGCAATACATTTTTTTTTAAATATTACCAGCAATGCATTTTGAAAAAATATATATTACCAACAATACATTTTTTGAAAAAAAAAAATTACTAGCAATACATTTTTCGAAAAAAAAAATACCAGCAATACTTCTTAAAAAACAAAACATATTACCAGCAATACATTAAAAAATACCAGCAATACATTTAAAAAAATACCAACTAATACTTAAAAAACAAAAGTAAAACATATTACCAGCAATACATTAAAAAAATACCAGCAATACATTTAAAAAAGAAAAAAATTACCAGCAATGCATTTTGAAAAAAAAAAATGAGTAATTGAAAAATGGTTCAAATATATATGAATACATACACACTTGTTTTTACCAAACTATCGCTATGAATTTTGTTGGCATTATGACTCACTGAGGTTGATATGCCATAAAACAAAACAATCAACCAACCATTGAAACTTGTTATTATTTCATGAACTGAAATCTTTTCTGTGAGTCCAGATAAAAAATAATTCTTCCTTAAAGTCTTAACTAATTCAAATAACAGTTGAAGGTAAATAACTCCTGCTGTATTATTACAACTCTTACTATATAAAAATCACATACTTGATTGCTTTATATGTAATACAGTGTAAAATGAAAATTGTTGTTATAGAAAGTTTTTGTGTTTCTCTTGATTGCTTTTTTGTTTACTGAAGTAAAGTAAAAGATGTACGGGTTGAATTTATTGCCGTTCAGAATATTGAAAAAACAAGAATTCAGAAGACACTAGATAACGATTGACATTGCATTTAAATTTTGAAGGTCAAAGTTGAGCGGAAATCAAGAAGCTTAAAGAGAGTTCCACAAACGAGAAATGCCATAGAAGAATCTGTTACTATAGAACTTACGGTTATCTCTAGCCATTTCAATATAACATAATGGGACCTTGCTGCCAATCTAGTATTACGTTTAAATTCAATAAGCCTACCTATCATAGTTCATCAGAACAATTACCATGTAGTTATTTATAGAAAGGCACAGGGAAGTGAGATTAGAGTTGTGGGAAAGTGACTGAAGTTTATGATGAATATGTTGCTTGATAAGGTCAGTATTAAATGCATCAACTCATTGGCTTATGATTTTATCACTAAAATCAGGGCCATGCAAGGATCTTGTGTCCCGAATTGAATCTATGATACAACCCTCCCTCAATCTATGATATGGCGTTCCCACTCTATTACATCTCAATTTTCATAAGGTAATATTCATATAAAATACAAATTTTATTCTAACCTAATTATCTATAATAATGGATCATATGCAATAGAGGTGAATAATTCAACTAGAAAAATTGAAAATAAATACAATTTATCTAAATCAGGCATATCCAAATTCCAGCCCAGGGCCCAATTATAGCCCACATTCAAATTTCATATGGCCCCCATCTTCTGTCATAGAATGTACCACTTACGGCTCCCAACAGTAATACCAATGTAATCAGAGCATGTATTTTTGAGGCGATATGAAATTGGTATTAGAGCCCATTCTAAGGCCAACATTAGCTACTTCAACCCACTGGCTTATGATTCTATCACTAAAATCAGGGCCGGTGCAAGTGGCCCCCTCACGAATCTATGATAGGGGGTCCTCACCTCTATTACATCTCAATTTTCATAAGGTAGTATTCATATAAAATACAAATTTTATTCTAAACTAAATTATGTACAATAATGGATCATATTGTAGTGACTACTACTACGTTTGCCACGCCTACATTTTTTCAACTGTGATTGGTTAAATAATAAATACTGTTTACCACAGGACAATTTACTGATCGCAGTCACCACACTGAATTTTTCCTGCCGTGAATTTCACAAACATGCTTTTGTTAAAAAATCACCGATTGGTTAATTTTTCATCCAATCATATATTTTCTGTGTTCGTTCAAATTTTCCTGGATCCTACCAGTAGTTACAAAAGCAACGTTTTGTTCCAAAAATAGACAGTAGAATTAGCAACTCACACGCGTCTACACAGACTATTGATTCTACTCACTGCGCACAGACACAGAACTTGAATTACATTTCGCCATCAGTTCTCTGTGAACAAGCCAAGTTACAAAACAACACTGTTAGTTATACAACTAACACACAACTGTAACATTAACTGTATGTTCTTCTGAAATGCAACATTCTATTTCAACATAGAACTTTGAACATTCTATTCAAGAAACATCCTCAATTACATTTTATCTTATTCAAGCTAACAGATAAAGGGAAACTACTTTTTTCTCCTTAATATTAACACATTACAAAAATTGTTTTGTATTTGTTGATTTTATCGTTGAAAGAAAAATCGGTTTTTAATTGTTTTTCCTTGATTCAATAATGTATAAATGTTAAATGCTCTTCAACATGCAGCCACATTAATCTTTTCAATTCATTTACAATATGCAATATAGGTGAACAATTCAACTAGAAAAATTGAAAATAAATACAATGTATCTAAATACAAATTAGAGACCTGTCGTAATAGATCATTCATTCCATCTTCAATAAATCAAAAATGTTTTGCGGCGATTTTAAACATCAACTGGAGATATTTTTGTGCTAAAAAATTGGAGAATTTTAACACATTCAACATTATTGATAAAAAAAATAGTGAATTTTATATGAGATTTTTTTAGATTTTTTCCACCCCCACCCCCTCCCTGAATGACGTCAAAATCCGCAAGTAATTTTTATCTCTTAATAATAGTCAATTGTGCTTAGTTTAATCTAGATATAAATGTAGGTAGAAAAAAATAAATGTTGATAAGATAGCGAGGATCACGAAGCACTGCCAGGGACCCACAATCAGGTTTCCCCCACTCCGAACAGGAGTAGTATGCATCGTCCCTGCCCGACTCAAGAAATGGATCGTCTACAATATAAGCATTATGCGCAAATAATCAAAGTTCGTAAAATGTAGCTGTTGTGTGAGAATCAATTGACTTTTATTTTACATTTCACAACAGAGGCGTCGTTCCTCGACAACTGTAGGGTTCAGCGTACCCGGATTAAAAGGAGAATTTAATACGGGATACCCTGCCCACAAAATACAACGCAAATTTCAATAAAAAACAACACGATAAGGAACGTTTGTAGAAAATAGAACATTGTATATTTATTACCTTGTGAATAGGGTAAAAAAGATTAATGTTTTAGTTAGTTTGAGCAAAATGTGATTTTGACAAAAATGTCTGTGTTCGCTGTCTTTTAACAGAGTAGCAGAGTAATGTCTGTTTCTTTTGTTTTCGTATATGTGTAAAGGAAAAAGGGGCGATCAATTTAAGTTGAAAAAGAGAGTGTGGATGAGAAATAAAAGATAAGAGGAAAATGTACTCATCGGGCTGAATTGTTTTGGAGTCAGTTGTAAATTTGTTGTTTTTGTTGTTGTTTTCCTTTCCTGCTCCACTTTCGGCTCTTAATGTCGGGTTGAGTCAGTGATGGAATTTACTGTCAGTCTTCTATGATCTCTGCGCCCTTCTGACTGGCGACTGACTTGAAACTCTCTATTTATTGTTGACTTTTTTTTCACACTGGATCGTTATCTTTTTTTTAATTTAGCAAAATCGCCTCCTTTCATTTGTCAGAAAATTAATTTCACAC